AACCGTCTGATTTATCGTTAATTTTCTCGTCCATCTTTTACCTGCTAAATTACCTACTTTTAACCTTAAATTTATGGCACATTCGATATTTTACGAATGGTTTGCCAACTGTTATCACACCCATTATACTCACCCCCGGTGATATCCGAACGGGACTATGGGGGGTGTGCGCCTTATAAACGCGATAAAATAGAACACGCTTCATCGAAGCAGATGGCTGTCGACGGAAAGCACCGGGCAGTATCGCCTAACTTTTCGGATTATTTTCACATATACACCTGGAGGAACCGTCTGCCATGCGCCACAACCGATATCATATATACTCCAATTATTGTCGTCGAAAACAATTGTACCAAAACCAATCTTATGACTATACTATAGGCACTATACCAATCTTAACAATGTAGGTAGGTATTATTACTTGGTGTATTTATTAGTGTTCCTAAAGACATATGTGGGTCGTAGTGTTTATAAGTCTTAGATATGATTAAACAATACGAATTTTTGTGCTTGAGTAAAGTCTGCTATATAAAAATGTAGAGGGATGTATAGCAGGATGTGAAACTTTTCTATAGTGTTTATAGTAGATTATCAAAAAGTGGGTGGTTTTTTATAAGTAAGACAAAGTGTTTTACACCCTGTATAGTCGAAGTGAGTACATCCACCTGTCCCGAAAAGAAGAAAAGAACGCAGCCGGCGTGCCGTAAAGTTAGCAGAGCCGTCGAAGCGGAAACTAATGAAAGCGTTTCCGCCACGAGCCAATGTTGAATACGGGCAAACACGTTACGTGGATTCGATTAAAAAAAAGCACAGAGTAATAATAATATTAAAGAAACACCTGCCCGGTGCCGCATCGTGTACGGTAACATTCGCGTTCCAATTTTCGCCTTTAATTAACCGAAAAACGTAAATATAGTAAAATAAATAAGAACCGCCTCTCTCCGTCTACGAGTATATCCATATCACTAACAAATAAAAAACTAACCGTGCATATACCCGAACAATAGAGAACATCCGTCGAGGCGAATCGAATTTTAATTTACACACGGGACCACCTACGCCTACACTCCATCGCATCGCCACCTTTTAAAAAGGAATCCAAATCGAGCCTATTTTTATCCTTTTCGTCTTCTTTAAATTAACGTCTTAACTCATTTCGTCGAACTTGACGTTCCTTTACATCTTTTACGCGTAATTAAGTACACCGCGGGTTTTTTGTTAGGGACCGAGCCCATTGTGTAGTTAGTTACACCAATATGCATGGGAAAACTTCACGCCTGTACGAGGGCTCATCCATAATACCTATGACAAATTACGTATACATTCACACACCATCGATCTATCGTAGAAAAATATTTATATTTCTTATTAGAAGGAGTTTGAGTTGAGCCAATTTGGCTAATCCTGTTAAGTTAAGTGTACGCACAAGTCTTCGGTGGATGACCTACATTGGTGTCTACTAGGAGATTGAGTTTATTATTGTGGAGTTAAGGCGTTCGGAATTTTCTTGTGGTTGGGTAAAAGGCCGGTTTTCCATCGGTTTTCTCCCATTTGGCGAAAGAACGTCGACCCGAAGGAGGCGATCTTTCTCACGAAAGGGGGCCCGCGGTGCCGAAGGCCGGCCGGCCTGCCGCACTTCTCTTCTATGACTCACGGAACGCAATCAGACAGACAATGAATATATAAAACGGGCGAGTGGGCGATCCGTGTGTGTGTGTGTGTATATGTGTGTGTTCCTCTGACCGAGCCCAAACCGAAGGAACAAAAAAAAACCATCACAACTTTCCGCTCGAAACGACTATTCTCACTTAATGCGACACTCTTAACGAGAAATTGATTAAATTTGACGGTGGAGCCCAGAGGTGGAGTATCGATTTCTTGTCTCGAAAGAGATTACATGATTACGGCTTATAAGGATAGGAATTAGGACAGAAAAAATATTCATTCGTTCACGCCAAACTCTTTAGTACGCCAAATACTCTTTGTATATGGATTTCTTGTGTGGTGTACCTCCGCGGAATAATAACTCGAAAATTTGGTAATTTTTGGGTAAAATGTCAAAAACGTCGGCGAGCCGATTGTTCGGCCGCACAATAATGTCGGCGTATTCGTGGTCCCTCATGCGGATTACGAGGATAAAAATACACCAGGAAGAATGAGTGTGACCAAACGGAAAATTTTAATGGCATTAAGTACGATGGAATAGAATGGCTGGTACTTTTACGTATCTTTTTATTTTATTTATTTCTCCAATCGGTTTATGCTCAGCTTAATTCCGACAAATACCTATTGGTATGTCCCCATTCAAATGAACATGTGAACATGTAGGTAAGCCCGGACTTCTCTAAATGCCTCATACCTTTATTCCCCCATCGGGTATTTTAAAACAATACGGCCGGTATGAAACCAAACAATCTAAAAATTACCTATCCATCAACCAATTTATTTCGAAAAAAATAAATAAACAAAAAGCAACGGGCGCGGTAGGCGGTTAGTCCGTAAGTACCCATAAATAATCGGTTGTAGAGAAAATAATTTTCGAAGGACCACCTATTAAACGAGAGAGCCGGCTCTTCGGAGTCGAATGATAGGGCGCAAATCGAACACAAAATACAGACGGACGGCTCGTTTAGCTCTCTGTCGCTGTCAATTACAATTTCGGCGAGTTCCTTCTTCTATATGCGCTCCAATCACCTATGGCTACTTCACTTCTATACGCGACTTATCAATCGCCTTAAAAGAAAACAAACGCCGCTCGTTCGGCCGAAGATTGCTTGATTATAGTCGCGGCAAACGGCATAGTAGTTAAAGGCGGGGTGTTAATAGTAAGGGAGCTGAGCTAACAATAATTAACATTTGTTTTATCAAGTTGATAGCATTTCATAAACTGTAAATGAGTGCCAGTTGAAGTAGGAACTGGAAGTGATCTCCAAAAAACAACCAAATATTGTGTAAATGGATAAAAAGTTAACGAGATAACGCTGAGTTAATGGTAAATAAAGGCTAGAGAAAACATTTTAAAGTGCAATTAATTAAGAAATAAAAAATTAAAATTTACACCAATACAACAGGAAATCGCGTCTTTTTCCCTCAACTCATTTTTGGTTTTGTGACCAGTTTTGGAAAGAGTTTAAAAAAATCGTGCTTGATTTTGGATGCGCTGCAATTGAAACTTGGGGAAATCTTGTAGTTTGTAGTGATAAACATTGGATAATTTAAGATGTACATATAAGATATGATGTTCTTTTCTCTTTGGGTTTTTGTTCTTTCTTTTTTTGGTTTAGGCTGATTTATTTTGCCCTATTTTGTCGAGGCTGCTTGGTTTTGGGCTATTTTATTGTCAGGAGAGTTTTGCTTTAGGCGATTTTCGCATTGGGCTGTTTTGTCGGTAATGTTTTGTTTTGGGTGATTTTAACATTGGGCTATTTTGTCGGGGGCTGTTTTGCTTCGAATAATTTTAACATTGGACTATTTTGATTTGGGCGACTTTGCAAATGGGCTATTTTTTCGAGGCTCTATTGTCGAGATTGTTATGTTTTGGGCGATTTTAGCTTTGGGCTATTTTGACGGGGTATCGTCTTTCTTGCAAGCTTCAAATTTTAATCTGATGTATAGAATTTTGAATAACAAAAATTTGAATTGGCGCCCAGTTGGTTGCACAAAACTTTAGAGAAAAAGGGTGTAAATTGAACGAGCGCCACCACATCCCGGTGGGAAAAAATAGGGAGAAAAGTGGTTCAACAATCTTGCGAGTTCGCTGCTTGAAGCGCATACTCGACGAATACGAACGGAAGCCGTTCATTTAATATTATTAACGGACATCCTGTGTTTTACTCGTTCGGGTTCTTTGTTCTTATTGTCGGTTGATTAGTGTCGCTTCCTATGCGAGTACGCCGGTTGTATAAACACCTTTCGTCTCTTTTATGTACGGCGTATATTAGCTTTCGTAGATCAGGAGCTGGTCGAAGATTGTGTACCTAGAGCACCGTATGAAAATGTCACCGACAGGTAATAAATAACCTGTTTACTTTGTGCGAATCCGACCCATTTGTCTACGCATGAAAATCGAAATATAAACTATTGTCGTCGTTATCGGCTTTGGAATTGTCACAAATGTCACGATCCCCTGAAAATAAAGTTAACAAACCACCCACGGCAATATATAATGACATTTTTCGGATTTCTTCCATTTCCGAACCACCTTCGGAGAGAGAAAGAGAGTCCGGCCTTTATTAAAATAACACGTTTTCGGACAAACGAGGAAAAAAAAAGTATCGACGCCGCGCCGACAAAGAAGTCACAACAACCGGAGACCCACCTGAAGACCCGCGTCAAAAATATATCCCCGGTAATTTTTCATATCGGTAATTGCGTAGGGGAGGCGGTTTCTTGTGTACGCAAAATTCCAAATGTATTCCAATCGTTCGGTTTTTTATTATTCCAGGTTTCCGACGCCGGTAAAAGAAAACCTTTATGCTAATTTACGATTTCTGGGAGTACGAGCGCCGAATAAATGTGACGGGAATTATGATTAAATCACGACGACTGTGTCGTGTTCAGATTCGAAATTAACTCTTTTCCAAAGAAACGAACGTATGTATAAATAATATGTCATTTCACCCTTAAATACAGAACATAATTTTTCCTACTACGCACAGTCGAAATTTGTAATGGGATAATTTTCGAATGGCCCTCGTATAATACTAATATTTTGTATTCTTGTGACATTGTAGAGCGTTGGGTGCAGCGCGTTTGTCACTCGTTATCATCGCCCGATCGGCGCCCCGGCCAGACGAAATTGAAATGTCCTACTCTTCATTTTATTTTCTCTTTGTCTCGAACATTTCGGACGAACGCTTTGCCGTAAAACCGCCTTGTTGGACGCACAAAAAACCACAATTAACCAGATCGTTCGATTTAGCGAATCGATCTGGCAACGTCGCGAAATAGCGCAGGGTAAGGGTCGTACTCGCCCAATTAAATCAATCAATCAAACTTACCACATTGACGAATTCTTGGAAGGTTATGGCTTGCGTACAGGAAGTTCTGGATCGCTCTAAGAGTATTTCCCTTTTGCCGGTGTTGACGCGTTGCCGGAACTCCGGCTGCATCATGGCCTCCAGGAAGTCCACCCACGGTATTTCGCCGAAACCTTCCGGGTCGTACTTGTCAAAGAACTGTCTCCATTCCTGCAAAAAATTAACAATACAACGTTAAAAAAATGTACTGAATCCGCCTCTGCGCGACTCTCGAGCGATTGGTCGGAGGTGTCCAGCGCCGTTGCCGCTCTTCGACCTTTAGCTTAACTATGAAGGAAATCTTACGTCTCTGAGCAGTCCTTTTTTGGTGTCGACGTCGCCGTCGTCGCTCGCCAGGTCCGTGTGATCGGTGTCGTATTGGTCCAGATCGGCGTTGGGAAACGACGCGAACGAACCCGTTATCGTGGCTATTTGACCCGGCTCGATGCCCGATTCCTCCGATTGGGCGTGTATCAAATTGGTGGTCATGAACTGCATGGAGGGCGACACTCGGTGCGGCCATGCCGAATGCGATAACATCTGCGAAACCAACAAAATATTACCAAATAACATTCACACAGAAAGCTAAAGATTACAATGGTTTATAGATGGATAGATCATTGAATTGAACGAATGAGGGAGTATACAGATTGCTTCAATTCAGACCGCAACATGCTCGTTTGTGTGAGTTAAACAAAGAAAGATTAATAAAATAACAGTTGTAAGAGTGAAAAGTTGCAAGTGTCTAATGGAAGTTGTCTTTATAGCACTTATAGCACTTATAGCGCATATAGACCTTGAACCAAGGTCTATGTAGACAGTCTAGACCCATGACCTAGAACCAAAAACTAAAACCAAGACCTAAAACCAAGACCAAGAACCAAGATCTAGAACGAAGATTTCTAAAAACAAGATCTGTAGAACCAGACCTAAAAGCCTAGAAGAATAAAAAAGAATTAGATAGATGAGTGCAAAAGAAAATTGTTTTGAACCTCTCTAGAATAAATTTGTAAATACATTTATGGCCAAAAAATTATTTAAATAAAAGGATTTAGAACCTAGAGGAAAAAATATCTAGAATGATGCAGGGAAAGCAAAAGAACATCTCTAACGAACCTGTTGCTAAATAGAATAAATAATAGCAGATAAGTGTAAAAGAAATTTAATTAAGGCCCTCTTGAAAATCGCAGGAGAAATTTGGTTCCTTTGCGCAGGAACTGCAATCTCCATGGCAACGAAAGACGCTTTGTATATACACTCGCTCACAAGCACAATCCATATACAATCTTACATCTTTATAAACGATAACTTTTACCTGTATGTGCCGAAATTAAAATAAAAAAACGAATTCCCCACGGACGAGAAGCAATTCTGATCGATTAAATGGTCTGTGTATGCCCGCAAATAAACGACAAAACGAAGCGTTTTCGTTCGCGATACGTCCCGTTTTCCGCCGATCGCCGAGGACGAGGACCTACTGTCGCTATTTCCATTTCCCCCGCTTTTCACTTTCTCCCTTCCCGAATATTAGACAGGCGAATTTTCCAACCCTCGAGGACAACGCGCGCGCTCTACGCCGACGAGCACGTTGAGTTATTTATGCGGATCGGGTAAGCGGGTAGCATGCATTTTAAAAACGGGGTTGTAAATTAAAATATTGATGAGACGTGTAATTGGGCTATCGATTTTTGGATGGACGTATTCGCGCCCTCGGGCGATTAGGGTGGCTGGATTATTATTGTATATTGGGGTGATTTTAACTCGAACTTGGAAATAGACAGTAACCCAGTGTATGATTCTGAAACTTAGGTGACCAACAATACACGACTTAAATTGATTACATTGAGTAAATTATGATAATGAAACTTTTATACCGGGTGTCCCCTTGTATTATTGTTGATTTTTAAAGTTAAAAACTTGAAGAATTATAACCTGCAGGTTACCGATCAATTAGGCCTTTTTTATTGCTTATACAGGACAGAATGAAGCAATTTGTTGCCAAACTACAGAGGTTACAATGAATCAAAAGTTATCGATCAATTGGGTAATTTTATTGTATTCTTTATATAGGACAAAAAAACAAATTATGTCGATAATTATCGATCATAATTATTATACAAATTACAATGATAATATAAATCGCCTTCGTTTATGTAAAATTGCACTAATGCGCAATGTTCATATAATGTAATTTAATTTTTACAATATAACGGCAACTATAACAATGTATGTAAAAATTTAACTTATAACACAACATAATAGGAGAAAAGTTAGTATTTTACGAGCAATATTGAATATATCTATCACATCAGCATATCATTAAATATAGTAAAACCTGTGTCAAATTGTAGATAACGGTATTTATTGTCTGTAGTGTAGAGAAACCTTGACGTAAATACGTTTTGTGTGAATTACATTATCATTTTCTTCAAAGTTTTGTTACTATGCAAATTTGAAACTTTGTTTTCAGCGAATTTCGAATGTTATTTAATTCGGTTTTGGAAATTTTGTTTTCAATCGAATCCGAATGTTTTTAATTCGCTGTTACGTCTTAAGGGAAGTAGTAAAAAATGCTATTTGCGAGAGCACTTTCGAACGTATAATTATAAACAATTAGTAAAATTAGTTTAATTAATTCTTCTTAGATCGTACGTTTTGATTATGACGAAAAACATTAATGTGCACTTAGAGTTTACTAATTTTTTTCAAAAAAAAATATTAAAAATATTAGTACAATCATGTGAATTTTGTTTAATTACAGAGCTGTTTAATTTCAATAAAACTAAAAATTTGGAATGTAATTAAATTTTAATAACGGTGCCTGATATCCTTACTAATTAGATTCGGATGGCCGACATTCTTGGTTTTTAATTATTTTTATGAGGAACTAATATTTCTAGGAGTGGACGACAAAATAATCGGCCCATAGGGATCAAATTAGCCACAATAAATTAGAGTAAAATTATTTGAAGCAGCAATAGTGCATTTTTTCTTCAACTAAGATTTAATTAAGCCTTATTATTTAGAGGAATAATCAAACTGATCCAACGTTTTCTTCCTAACAAATCTATACAGGGTGTTCCATAATGACATGCTAATATTTAAGGGGGTGATTTTTGAATCCATTTTAAGAAAAAAACTTCATATGAACATATGTTCTAAACCTAAAATTTATTATTTTTTAATTTTAGCACAGCGGCTATAATATAGCGGCTGCATACAAATGAATGCGTTTATTTTTTTTAATGCGAACGATGAGCCGTACGGAAAAAAGTCAAAAAATCAAATTTGTTCTAAAATGAATGAGGATTTCGAAAATAATTTTTATTTTAATAGTAGGCAGTGGCGTACAATTTTTTCTCTAAAAATATTCAATGCGAAACCCGTACGGACACCACTGCTGAAAATAATAAAATTATTTGTACATCAGAAAATGCATCTTGATTCATAGAAGACGTATGCCAAATTTCATAAAGATATCTACAATAGTATCACGGTTATTACAAAAAAATTGATTTTTTTTCTTATAACTTTAACACCCTGAATCTCAAAAGTTAAGACCTTTAGATTGTAGGCTTATATGAGGTTTTTTTCTTAAAATGGGCCCAATAATCACCCACTTAAATATTAGCATGTCATTTTGGAACACCCTGTATAGAAATGGAGGAGCTTCAAATTCAAGAGGAACTTCAATATAGTTTATGTTTCTTCCACGACTTCTTTATTTTACTAGTAAAACCTTAAGTCACTGTGTGGACTTGTGGACCAACAAGTCTTTACCCAAAGTAGTTTTCATGTTTGTTTTATAGAGGTATTGTTATGAGAGCAGTGCTTTAATCTCTCAGCTTCAAATGAGAGGACCCCCTGAACGTACGTACAAGACAATATAATTATATTATTGGTATAAGGAGAATTCATGAAGTTGCATGGATTGATAAACGCAGTACATATACATTTGAAGCGATACAAAAAGCATTGTGTGTACGTTGAAGAGGTCGCGATCCCGTATTATCATATTTCGACACTGTATAACATCGATTTAGTTCGACAATGCGCTCCGTTTCGTTATTGTTGTTTTTCGCTCAAACGTTCTTATTTGGTTCGCTCCGATTCGGTTTTTTCGCCATTTTCTAATTAACGATTACGTTACGAATTAATATTTTCGGAAGGAAAAAATAAGATAGAGAGAGAAGGAGAGATAATTATTGTATAAAACAAGGAGGAGTTCATATTTAACGTATTCTCTAAATCGTATTTAAATTCCGATAATTCCGGAGAGTTCAATCATTGATATAAGAAGCATAGCATCAAACAGTATTAATTTATTTATTTATTCGGAAGTTAATAAGTGCTAAGTTAATTCGTTCTAAATTGTACCTATAAGTGTCGGTGTACCTGTTTATAATTCCAACAGTTTGTTAATTTTTACTTTTCGGTTTGCTGGTCGAGAAATGTCTGTTATCACCACCAAACAGGTAATACAAAATACTATTCTATTCATATGGCTGCTCATTTATCATTACACGGTTTAAATAAATTTATTTAATCATGTTTTAATAGGATAAAAATGTTCGAATTACAAGGGAATGACCGTTAAATGAGGAATAATTTCAAAATTTCGTTGTTAGTTAGATTATTAAATGAGGAATAATGAATTTTTAATACAAACCACCTGTAGGATCGCCTTCATATGTATTTTCCTTATTACTTTAGCAATTTTTCTAATAAACAATAGATATTTCATAGAAGAAAATTATAAACAGAAAATTCAAAGAGCAACGTTCTGGGAAAAAAAATATTTACACAACGGTTAATAGATAACCCGGTTAAAATTTACTAGAGATAAATAAGTGGTTTTAGGTTTTAAAGCGAGGGGAGTTTTAAAATTTCAATTACAAAGTCTATTTAATAAAAATGCATTGTAATGATGAAATGGAAAGTAATATTTTTCTTACAAATAACATAATAAAATCTTCCTCCATACATATCTTATTGAACTCTTGACACGCGATGTTGAAATAATCATACGATTAATTAAAAATAGCTTCTTCAGAATTCAAATAATGTAATAGTATTAATATAAATTGTATCAATAATATTTATTATGTTTCTTATCTGGATTTCCAATAGTTACTAAATTATACATAAAATTTTACAAAAACACTTTTGAAAATTCACAGTAGGAAAAAAGGTCCCTAAAAAGTTAACAAAGAATTTTCTATTGCATTTTACATTGATTTGAACTATTATGTGATACATACCTACATACATATGTGATACTTACATTAATTAAAAATTCTAGTTAAATAAAATGCTATTGTGTTTGATAGTTTATAAATTGAATATACTGGGTAAACAAAAACGTACCAACTCAATGAATTTTACCTTATCAATATAAAATATAGTAAGTATGGTTGATATAAATATTTTTCATATAGATATAGATTTTTCATAGATTTCAACATCTTGTGAGCATAAAAAGAACCTGTAATTACACTGTAAAATACCTGCAATTATAATAAATATAATAAATAATAAATATCAAGCTATTTAAATTTTAAATTTTTCAGATCATAATTTTAAACTATATGGTAAAATATTAGTTTATTTTATGATTTAACTAGTCGGAAATTATCGGAAAAATTTTCACACGTGTCAAATTGTGAAAGTTTAAGGTCGATTAGGCTAATCACTGCATTGTGTTCGATTTACGTAGACTTTTGATTTTTTTTGCACCAAATGAATGTTCATTCATTTCGATGCAAACCTGAACTTGAACTTCACCGACCACAAGGTCAATGTCAATTTTTTCACCCTGTATCTAGCCTATTTAAGAATGCAAAATAATCTAATTTAAATTGATAAACCAGGTAATCTACCTCATGGTCATTGTCAATTATTTCACCCTATAGTATCTAATCTAATTAAAATAAATTTTGCAAAATAATCTAACTAATTTAAATTGATAAAGAAGGTATAATGAGGCTCATAATTTTACGTTCAATCATCCACGATAATTACACCAATTTAACATCCCTACAAACTTTTATGTGATTTTTAAATTAAGTCGAAGCAATGTTAATCAGTTATAGATTTTTTTTTAATTAATACCTCACGATAGGAGCGCCAAAGGAATAATTATTCGGTATTAAAATTTACCCGCGTATGTTAATTTTGTGGATTGTGTAGATTCAACTTCCTCGAAAAATAGGTCAATTTGAGAACATAAATATTTAGGATCTGCTAATAAAAAATTTATCTTTATTTTTTAACAGAGCGTTTGCAAATGGTTGCTCAAGCACCAACACAAACTGAAGCAAGCCATCAGGGCGTGCTCGCTGCAGGTGAAGGAAGCTCCCCAATTGGATGAGTTGCCCAATGAACGTTACGAAATCGAATCAGATATTAGCTTTAAAGTGAGTACTACTCCCATAAGTTTAATACTCGGTGCATACGTAATTATGTTTTGAATAGAACTCGAGATTTCCTTGATCGACCCTGAAATGACGCAACTGGTTGAAACAATTCACAACGATCTAAAAACAATAAACAAAACAATAACCTAGCTGACGTAAAAGTATCCATTTATTAAGTATTAGTACGTACTAATAATAATAAACAAAAAATTGTGCCAATAACTTATCTGGTATAAAAATACACATTTTACTTATCTTCAAAAAAAATTCTTAATTTGGTTGGTAAACTCTCTTATCCGCGCGTAACGCAATTTCGACACAAACTATTTCCGATACTGTATCTATTTGCTAAATTTCCAATTCTCCGGAGATAACAGCACGTTTTACGTAAGTTACCATTGTTTATTAATAAACTTTCGAAATTTTAGTACGAACATCTTTCGACGAAATTGGCGGATCCGGGATTGCTGCGATCCAAGCCGGACGTCAGCGACTTGAAGTTCGGCCACTATTTCACCGATCACATGCTCAAAATTTACTATCACGAGAAACTAGGCGGCTGGCAGAAGCCCAAAATCCTGCCTTTCCAGAACCTCCAGCTCCACCCGGCCGCCAGATGCCTCCATTACGCTCTAGAGGTACGCTTCAATGCACCCCCAAAATCCTCTTGCATCTTACACCCCTGTTTGTTGCAGCTGTTCGAAGGATCCAAAGTATATAGAGGAGTCGACGGGAAGATACGATGGTTCAGACCCGATTTGAACATGGCCAGAATGAACAGATCTGCAGAGAAGATCGGATTGCCCACCTTCAACCCCGAAGAGCTGATAAAATGCATCAAGAGACTGTTGCAAATCGACCAGGAGTGGATACCCCACAGCGAAAAGGCCAGCTTGTACATCAGACCTACCTTCATAGCAATCGATGTAAGTGGAATTTTAAAAGAAAATCTTCCAACCAACAACCCTACGCTCCGATTTTCTGCATAACACACTCGTTGGAATCTCTATTAGCGCCAATGGAGAGACTGGTGTTCTTGTACCACGATCAATTTTATTCTTAACTACAGCAGCTTGCTTACCTCATAACTATAGTTCCTCTTCTCGAGATCGCCAAACGTGTATAAGCATATGAAAATGTTGCAGGGAACTCTGGGGGTGGCCAAAAGCGAATCCTCGCTGTTGTACGTGATCCTGAGTCCTGTGGGTTCGTATTGGGCGGGCGGGCAAAAGGAAGACGTGTCGTTGCTGGCGGATCCGCAGTTCACGCGCGCCTGGCCGGGCGGTTGCGGCAGCAGCAAAGTGGGATCCAATTACGCCCCGACCATCAAGGTGCAGGCGGAGGCGCAGAAACGGGGGCTGCAGCAGGTCCTGTGGCTGTACGGGCCGGAGCACTTCTTGACTGAAGTGGGAACTATGAATATATTTATGATTTATAAGGACGACAACGGGGGTATGTTCGTGTATTATTGTATGGAATTCCTGGAATTAATTTGGTGGTTGGTTTATTAGATACGGTGATGATAACGCCGCCTTTAAACGAACTCATCCTACCTGGAGTCATCAGAGATTCGATTATTAGAATAGCGAGTCAGGATAAAACGATACGGGTCGAGGAGAGAATGTTTACGATGAGGGAAGTTTGCAATATACAGAAAAAAGGGAGAGTAAGTACACAGTGTTTTATAAATGTATAACGTATTTTATATGGTTGTTATTGTGGTTTTTAGTTGATGGAGATGTTTGGCGCTGGGACGGCTTGCATAGTCACTCCAGTATCATCAATAGAATACCTAGGTAACGTTATACACATTCCAACGATGGAACAACCTAATCCGATCTACAGAAAATTCAGAGATTACCTTTCGGCGATTCAGTACGGTCACATAGAACACCCTTGGGGCATGGTTATAAGCTAAAGAATTACCGATTTAAAATTTTTTACGTGACTGTGGTAATCTGTATATATTTAATTTTATTTTGTAAATAATGTAAGTTTCGTCCTAGATGTTTGTTTAAACACGAATAGTTATTTTTTAAGATATGCAAACACACTAATATCTATCGAATTGTCTTGTTTTGATCTAGTTTGTCATTAGCAGCATAATTAAAGATATTAAATATTCACCGAGAGATCTCCAAGTTTGACCTCTATTGTTTCGTACAAAGTTATGCATTATTAAAATTTGCAACTTATTTAATAGACCATTGGTGCATGTTAGGTGCACAAAATATGATTATATGTTACCTACAAGTACAGATTGTTGTGTATAGTTTGGCAGGATAATGTTTATAATGTTAAGATTAAATAAATTATTTTATTATTACATCGTACTTAAGATATTTATAAAGGCGCACAAACTTTCATCAACTTATAAGGATTGGAATTGCTGATGAACTCCACCTCTTCGTCTAAACCTGGATAGTCCTTAACCCACTTCCTTTCTCTGTAATAGTCCATGCAGCTGGTCAATTCTTTGTGCGTGTAATTTAGTACTGGTACTGGTACAAAAGGATCTATGTGCTCGAAACCTTCTTTCCTCAATAAATATCTAAAAATATATATAAATTCTCAATTGCAAGTAATTAAAATTGTAAATTAATGTTACCTAGGTAAGTGGCATGTTTGATCCTCTTCAGCTATGGCAATTTCGTCTACAGTTAAAACAGCAACGCCGTTTTTCCAATCAAAATCCGTCAATTTCATGAAGGCTTCCGTAAGCGTAACCTTCTGCGGATGAACAACTTCTTTCTTTTCCGTATAAACTCGAGTGTTTGGATAGAAGAACGCATTGTACCCGTCTACAGCCACTAACGTTCTTACAACACCCTTGTTAGAGAGCTTTTTAATCTCCTCAGCAAGGGCTATTATAACTTCCGAAGCGTACTTCACTCTGTTTATACCGTGTTCTACCAGAGACAACAAATCTGATCCGGCCGGTGTTACTTCACGTTTACTCCAAACATACTCGACATCCGTTTTAATATCGGGCTGTGTTAATAAATGGGAATTCTGCGTTTTGAAATTCAATAACCACGCTGCTGCGTCCAGGTTTAAATCTACGTAACCCTCCTTAGTTTCGCTGTTGCTGTATTCCTTACATCTACGCATCCATAGGCCGACCCACGGAACGTGGACCATCAAGAAACCATTTTGGTAGGCGTAATGTAGAACATGTGCTAAAGCTAACGATTTTCCACTACCCATCTCACCATACAAAACGAACCTCACCACAGGCTTTGAAAAATCTAGGTTCTTCATACAGTTTATTATATCTAACGAGGGCTGTCGTATCATCAGGCATGTTTCATTAAAGGTTTTCGTTTGTACATCAAATGATTTGGGGAGACCACCTAAAGTGAATATGTGTTTTCTGTCTTCTACGGGCACTTTATAAAACAAACCGAGATGATCTACTGTGTGGTTCGCACAATTCGATTCGGAGGTTCGGAATTTCTGTAATTTATCCGAAAGAAGTACAGGAGCACTAGAAAAACGCTGCACTAATAGTTTCGGTTTTATAACGTTTTTAATGAGTAATTTCGTTGTTGTTGCGTACATATTGGCTTATTTTTTATTTTACATTTGTTGAAATGCAGAAATTAAAAGTTAGGTTAAAGTTAATTATTTCTTCTTTTTTAGAATAGAATTTATTATTGACATCTGGTCTGCATATCTCATATTGTTAAAGTCCCTTCATAAGTCAATGTCATATGTCAATTTATGCTCATTTGTGACTAATATCACATCAATCATCGGCTTTTGTTTACATTCGGCATTTTTTGTGTGAAGTTTTTAAACTTTCACAATGCCTGGTACAATTTTGGAAAATTTGAGTACTAAAAAGTTGAGTGTTTTGCTCAGTGTTTTCCTATTAAGCCAGCTGGCATGCTTCCTGTTAGGTTTAATAGCTCCGAGTCCTGCGAGAACTCAAACAATATTGGCTACCGTTTGTGTAGACGAGGATCCTTTATCTTCCCGGGACGATGCAGATCAATGGTTCACAAGGCAATGTCGCAAAACTGTAAATTTGGAAGATCCAAAAGCGACTGATGGTTTAGATGCCAACAATTTGGTAAGACTTCCACTAATACATGTTCAATAAACTCTTACTATTAAAACATTTTACAGGTATTCGTTGCCGAAATGCCGTTGCACGGTTTGGATTACTCTCGCTGGCAACAAAATCTAGTTGGCATTTTGCAAATTGATATGTATTACCAGAAGGAGCAAAAAATTTCTAATCCGTTGGTCGAATTAACGCTTGAATCCCGATTGGCATACAGCGATAAAACATCCAATGGAGGTAAAACGCCTTGGAAATATTTCTCTCACGCGGAGGAAAAACGGTACATGAATTGCTCGTTCGATGAAAACGCCAACAGAGGGGAAGGTTACCAGTATGAATGCACCATGGTTTCACTATTTGAATTAGGATCGTTGTTCCACGATTATTATCTGTTAAATTTACGTTTACCTTACAATTCTACGAGCAATAAGAATACTGCATTAGGGAGAATACACGACATTTACTTGCATACCATTTACATGAACGGTGGTTTTACTAAAGTTTGGGTCAGCTTGAAAACGGTATTCTTTCCCATACTAGTAGCAATAATGACATGGTTTTGGCATAGAGTTCACAAATTGAATCGAACTCCTGTTCTGTTGGAATACATGTTAATTACTGTAGGTGGTACTCTGACGTTCCTTAATCTACCCATAGAATTTCTCAGTTTGTTTTTCGAAATGCCCTACATGCTGTTGTTAAGCGACATTCGACAGGGAGTATTTTACGCCACACTGCTGTCTTTTTGGCTGATATTCGCAGGAGAGCACATGCTGATTCAGGACACGGCAGAAAGGAACACTTTAAGAAAATACTGGAAGCATCTGAGTACAATCATCATCGGATGCTTGTGCTTGCTCATTTTCGATTTGTGCGAACGCGGCACTCAGTTGGTCAATCCGTTTTACTCCATTTGGGTGACTCCCATCGGCACCAATCTAGCTCTGGCCTTCATCATACTCGCTGGGATATCGGCGGGATTGTATTTCTTCTTCTTGTGTTTCATGGTCTGGCGGGTGTTTAAAAACATCAGCATAAAGAGATCCGTTTTGCCGAGCATGTCCCAAGCTAGACGTTTGCATTACGAAGGTTTCATCTACCGTTTCAACTTCTTGATGTTGGCTACGTTGATTTGCGCTGCAGTCACCATAGTTTCTTTCATACTGTCCCAAGTGGACGAAGGGCAAAATAAATGGGACGAAACAATGGATTTGGAATTATCTTCAGTTATCCATACCGGGGTGTACGGGATGTGGAACATATACATTTGCGCCATGTTGATTTTGTACGCTCCTAGCCATAAACAGTGGCCGTCTGATGTGGCCTGTACAGAAGGAGAGGAGGTGGAATTCAGCAGGATACCAAACGAATCTACTTCTAATGAAATCTCTGCCTTGACCACCTTCTCTACCAAAGCCAACCTCGATTAGGTGACTAGTTTCTTGTGCAATTCTACAAATTGACTTCAGTCGATATATAATTTTTAACTTATTGGATTCGATTGGTAATGCTTCCATTTTATCAATTAATCACTTATATTATTCGTAAGTCATGATATTAATCAATGGCGCTTTTGATATTAATTAGATTAGAAAATACGACTTCTTAATTAAATAACTTGACTAATGTAGTAGTGATACTTACATTTATGCATTTCCTACATAAAGGCCATATTACTTAAATTTAGCTTGTAGTTGGTAACTTATTACTAGTATTGTAATTTTTTATGTCAGTATATGAACAATCCAGTATTGTATTTATTTTTTTTTACCTTAATAAATGTGTCTCAACATTTTTTCTTTTATTTATACTCATTTATACCCAGTTTTGAGTCCCTAGTTACTCCATAACAACAATGTAAATCTGTTAAGTTAAAGACCCGACTTTAGAGTCACTCTAAAAGTAAACAGGCGCTGAATACGGGCCACTATGAACTAATAAAAATTGCAGAACCTCTAGGTATGCTCATTTTTACTTCTATAACTTAGATACACCCTGTACCTAAATAACAAGGAAAAAATACCAAGTACCCACAATAATTTTCATCATAGAATCACCACTTGAATTTTCTCGGTATTATTTAGATACACACTATATACTTATAATAAATCTTATTTTATTGGCTTATGTTAATGCAAATATTTGCTATCGGTAAATTTAATGTAAGGTGCGAGAAATTAATTAGTTTTAGTGAATTTTTGGTAGTGATTAGCAGATAATATTGAATTGACAATAGATTATTTACGTTAGAGAAAAATTGTATTGTATGATGGTATGGAATTTTGGTTTAAATTTAAGTCCAACTTTAACATTTATTTAATTATCCTTACATACATTTAAGTGAATTAGAACCGACATTGGAAAAATACCCAATTTCTGCATAGCAGTTGTAGAACTTAAAATTAAAACTTAGAATAAAAGAGTACCTACTTTAACTAACATTCGAATATTTCGGTTGGACGATGGACGTTTTCCTTACAGGAACAGTGTCAGGTGTCGGAATGGTGTCGCCGGTGCCCACATACGAAACAGGCCCAGGTAGATTCAATCCAGGTGGCTTGTTAATGTTTCCAAATTTCTGCTTGGCCATTTGATAATCTCCCGAATCGAAGTATTTCTGTCCTTTGGATAAGCGTTTCTGGAGGAAGGAGGAATGACCGCTAGCTTTCAATGGAGGTCCCCCTGTCGCAATGTTGTATTTGGACTTTAATTTGGCCTCTTCCTGCTTTTCCAGTTGCTGGGGGGTGAGCTGAGGCGGTTCGTTCGTTTCTTGCTCGTGTTCGCTCATTTTTTAATTCTAAAAAATATTTACGATTTCATTGAATATTAGTTTATACAGTATGCTAAAAAAATAAGTTTCGCAGACTTTAAGGAATGAAAATATGACAAAAAATATATTGGAGTGTTTAATATGGAGAATGGGAAATTCAGCGTCAACAGATACAGATAGGAAGTATTATAAAAATCATTAAATAATAAAACTTAGGCTAACTAGGATAAGAAAATCAAGTTTTTGCATTTGATAAATAATTTCAAAGGGAATAAACACCCTTTATCTGAAACTAGCCATGTTTATTAATATTTTTTAACACATTTTGGGTCATTCCTAAAAATGTATGTCATTTATTCTTTACAATTCTGCATGTAAATGCTTGTCACTCTTATTAAAAACTTAAAAAGGAAATTGCAATAGGTGTATTCATAGATACGTGTTCTAATTTGCTTTTTTATTCAAATTTGAACACATATTTTATCGACAAAAATAATATACGTTGTAAAGAATACTCACATGAAATCAGTCTTGATGGCCGAATAATATATGACTAATTTACAGCTTTTTTTGAAACCAACGTATTTACTTTATAATAGATCTTCTAATTGAGCAGATCTGATAAAATATTCAACATTTGATAAAGTAAACAATGAATAAATATGAAGGAAGAAGTGTCAAGTCAACGGACATTTGCAACTGTTTGTTTGTTTAACACCGACTTCCGACTTCTGACTTCACTACAAGATCCAAATTTAGCAAACTCAATAATAATATCAAACAATAAACGTATAAATGTTATTCAAATCTTATTTTACAAATTAACATTCAATTGTGTAATTATCCCATCGTAATATTCAAAATCTATACAAAAATTCAATTGAAGTCGTGTTGAGAAAACGAACGCACTTTAAATGATGTTTACGTCAATGTCAAATTTGATTTGCATAATTTGACAGATTACAAAAAGTAAATAAGATGGAAGTAGTCAATTCGCTAAAAACTGAATCTAATGAAACGTTTTTCGAAGAAGACGGTATACAATACTCGGATTTCGAAAACGTGGAATACGAAGGAGACGATTTGTCATCATTTAACGTAAGCTTTAATTCAGATAATCATTGCAATTTGCGTAAATTTCAAAAATTTTAGCTTAAAAACAATCACAGAAAGAGAACAAGAAACTTTACGCATAACGAAAGCAATTTAATATGTTCAATTCTGCAAGAATATTTAGACATAGTGGATAACAAGAAGACTGATCAAAAAACTAATTATTTAAAAAGCAAAGCTTGGTCCGAGATTACTCGGAAGTTTAATGATCACACCAAAGACGAAGAGAGAACTCCATCACAACTAAAAACGTTCTATGATAACTATAAAAGGAAGCGAAAAAGATTGATGGAGGTGAATATCTTCTTACCCACATATTATTAATAACCTAATAATGTTCATATCCACATAATAGTGTTAGAAGAAAAGTTATATGCCTGTATTCGGCGCTCCTTTTTAACGCCAATTAATTGGTTAAAGAGTCTCTTGACACTTGTACATTGTTGTTATGGAGTGGCTATGGACGTTGTTTACGTTAAAGAGAACTTTTAAATCATAGACTTTCTATCGATTTTTAGAACGGAGAATGTATAGACTCCCACAACCACTTTGAGAAACCATCCATAGACATCCTAACACACCAAGCAAAAGTATTTATGTCGGAGCGATCGGAAACGTTGAAAAAGAATTACATCGATGAATATCACAAGAAGCGAATACAATTAGTGGATAAGGAAATCGAGAAAGTCAAAGCTGCTACGGAACAACAACACAGGTTATTCCTTCTGCAAGAAGAAAAATTGTTGTTAGAAATACAGGAAATCAAAGAAAGGTTAAAAAATCGGTCTACAAATTGATTAAATCAACTCCACGACTTCTGGGACCCTTTTGTTTTAAAAAGTCGTTCCAAATAAATTAATAGCATAGTCACTGCAATAAAACCGGAGATAGAATCTACTGAACTATCGAGATTTTCTTTTTTTATTTTATATTGATTTATTTATTTATTAAACTAATGTTTTTAACACACGGATTTTGAGTTATACTCTACAGTTTTATACACCTGTCGTTGTAATTTCTCGATTAAAACCATCGTCACGTTTGAATAAGGACTTTCTATGCTCAAACTTCGGTTTCTCAACGACTTGAAGAAATTGGTTTCGTACTCGTGGAATTCTTCCTGCAATTTTAATTCCCTGTACAAATTACGAATCGATTCCACCGATTTCGGATCCGCTTTGCCGTAATTTTCTCTAAACAGCGCTTTTTGCGCCTCATTTCCCTTCTCCAACGCCTTCACCGCCAGCCACGTGCACTTACTCTCCTCTATGTCAGTACCGGTCTTTCCTGCTATGTCTTCCTTAACGAAACAGTCGTTAATATCGTTCTGCAAAAGTTAATTCGGAATTAGAAGAGTTCAAAGTAATTCCTACACGACTTGATATGTCGATTTTTTTATAACAAATCGAGTTATCAGTACCACCAGGTTCCTCTCGTTGAGATCTACCAAGCAACTATTTGCCGAAGAAATTTGAGAATCAGAATTTTAACAGTGTTAAGTACCTTAATTTGGAAGTACTCGCCCATGTCGAACAGCAAAGGAGCTATTTGATTCTCCAATACGTCCTTATTGAATTGCCTGGATAGATACATCCCCAATCCCACCGAGTAATAGAATGTGTAAAAACCCGTTTTGTATTTAGCGATTGTCTTGAATTTATCTAGTGATATCGTTTCTGGTGCATGCCTCGTGGAATCAGCCGCTTGCCCCAATGTCGTCTTGAACATAATGCTTTTGGAAAAGTAGAACATATCCACGAAATGTGGGTGATTGCGGAAGTGTTTCTCCAAAAGCAAATAAGCTACGGAGTTTAAACTCAACCCGTCCGCTATGGCTAGTACTCCGACGTTCTTCTGGCGGTGCCAGCACAACCCGCCCCGTCTCGTGAAGGAATTGTCCATTACATCGTCGAATATCACCACAGCAGCCTCGATCTGAATTAGATAAATCGTTGGAGAATGTTTGTAAAACGAGCTACAGGCTTACCAATTCGATGAACCACCCTAAAATATTGGCCAATCTGATGTTGTCTGGTGTGAGTTTCTCCGGTTTCTCCAGGAGTTTGTACGTTATAACAGTAGTTAGGCCTCTTACTTTCTTACCGTTCGGCACGTTGGTTCTGACGCAATTGGCGAATCTGTCCACAGTTTGCTTCATATCTTTTAAATTCAAGCCGGTGGATAAATCTTCCACTATCGTAGGGAAGTGGCTCATGAATTCATCGGTATCGGCATCGGAAAACGACGCTAACGTCGTACTGGATCTGTTTTTGAACTTAATTAGTGCAGTATATAATTAAATGCAATCGCCTTCTGGTTCGAAATGTTCGATTTTGCTTACCTGAAGCGAACTGTTTCTCGATACTTGGCATTCTTTAAAACCACAGGTCGCAAGAAATTTCTCCAACACATCGAGTGCATTTCGATTTTTAAAATGATCGATAGAATGAAAAATTAATTGTTGAATGCTTAATTATGACGTACCTAAATAATACCGATTTAATTGCTGGTGATGGTTTAATTATTTTTAATAGCGTTTTTTTAGGTGGTACAAAACAGTCCCACGTTTTTCTACATTAATTATAAGTTTAATGTGCACTAATAAAAAAAGTTGTTTCTACTTATATTTAATTTAAAGTTTAATAATAGCGTGAATCTCTCAAAATTATTCAGCTCCCCTTTTTTACATTTCATTGTATTTTTCCTTCGCCTGCCAATTCAAATCGTCAAAACAGAATAACTACTAAAAGCAATTTGAGAGTACCTACACTAGTGCATGTTTATCTGAAATTATTTTTAAAATAATGCTTTTAAATATTCTATCAGCTTAACGACCCCAAACTGGATATATTTTTTTCGAAATGTAAACACAATAAACATCAATTTCTCGCCGGGAAAACAAGTGCGTGGGCGGAAAATCGTTTCTCAGTCAATACCAATCCGATAAACTCGAATTGCTCGCATATCGCTCGATCTCATGGAAATCGGCGCAAAGATGGGAAGTGATAACAATAAAAATTCTTATAATAGATCGAAAAAACAGATCCGAGTCTTGTAGTGCGAATAAACATACATTTTTACGCGGCGTGTAAGAATTGTTGGAGAATCGGATACCATACAACAGTCGGTAACTATTTTTGGATTACTCGAGACGCGTTTTGTACTTTGCCAGGCCAAATGTTGTTTATGGGAGTTTATTATCAAAGCGAACAAGAAAAAGTACGTAAAATATGTGTCTTTATACTAAAAAAACTCCAATTGATGTTAATCTTCCGTATTTATATTGGTAAATTCCTCGTTTTGCTCGCTAACAGGTTATTTTTTAAGTGGCACATTTCGCTTAACTAACGATGCATCTTTATACAAGATTCCCATTCATGTTTTCTGACATCGTTTTGTGGATTTTATGGAATAAGCAAACTTATTTGACAGTAGAAAAATTATTACTCTCATATATCATACTAAATAATTTATTTTGAAGTTCATAAATTCTATTTTAAGTAGACTTGCTTTCCTTTTCATTTGGAATTTTTAGAACACACATTTTGAAATCATACACCATTTTATTACATTAATTAGCAATAATTTATAATTAGCTAAAATTAATTGGGAAATCTGCTAATATTTTCTGTAATTGATAAATAAGTGAATTGGTTTTTAAGTTCTTAGTGAGGTCAATTAATCTTTGCAATATTAAAAAAATGTGTTTAGATTACTGCCAGTTGATTATTAGATAATAAAAATAGAGCAAAAGATTTAGAATGACTATTCTAAATCGTCATTGAAGACCACAATTCGCCTTTAAACAAATTATGTTACTTCGAATTCGCGCATTTTATTATTCCTGTTAAACGAATGTTTAAATTATTTTTAGAAATCAAGTAAAACATCCACAAGCAATAAATTTTACCATTCGAATTCAATCATTATTCCTTCTCGCTTCACTACACCAGTAAATTTATTTGAAAACTCATAAATCTATCACTTTACCCAAAATGTACCTGTAACCAAATAACCTTCGATAGACAGGAATTAATCGCCCTAAGGTAAACCTGGCAATGTGTTCCACATTTCAGCGAGATTTACAATAAAAACCATTATTTTTAGAAGTTCAAAACGGCATGCGAAACGGCCAGGAAACTCTCCAAACGGACGCCTAACAATGAAGTAATAGAATTGTATTCGTTGTACAAACAAGCTACCGTCGGTAATATCAATGTTGGTAGGTTGCAAATAAATAAAGTAACAAAAGCGGGATGAAACCTGTAAACACTGGCATTTTCCGAATTTTTCAGCTAAACCGGCGGACGAGTTTGCGAGGAAGAAATGGGAGGCTTGGCATTCGAAGAGAGGGGTCACTGTCAACAAGGCCAAGGAGCAATACGTTGCCAAAGTGAAGTATTTATCGGGAGTGTACACCTAAGAGAAGTCTACCTGAAATCGTAGTCGAAATTAGAAATGTCTTAACAACGTAACTTTAATTACAATTCGATAAAAAATTCATTTAACAATTAGAAGAGTATAGAAATGTGTAGAATAAAGACACGTTATAACAAAATGAATTTCCATATACCATAACAAAACACCGATTAATAAAATGTTTTTTTTAAATTGTATAACAATATAAAAATAAAATAGACTAGTAATCAAAAATATAGTTTGCTTACAATTTGAATGTGGTTCGATTCACCTTAAATTTTATTATCACTGGTGCTAAGCAAAAGTACACAAAATACGACAGATGTAATATATAAAAATACAAAATATACAGTATGTCTGAAAAAGTTGGCAACATATGGGAAACTTTTTTATTTGTAATGTTACGAAAAAAAATTATTCTTTATAAAAAAATCTGCATGGCTAATAAAGTAAAACGCAAATATCAGATGTCAATTTTTTAAATCGTATACGTTTGTCAAGAAATATGAATTTGATACAAGAATAAAGTACCTTTATTTTTATCAATATCAAAAACTTTATGAAAAAATGTTCGAAATGGAAAACTATGTTTTAATATGCATTTTTGCTACTTTTTGAAGTACAATTACTGACGTTTTCAATTTTAGTTACATTAGTTACAATTGCATTTCGATTTCAATGCACACTAACTAGATGGAATGTATTGAGATTTTCATAAAGAATAACTTTTTTTCGTAAAACTTACAATAAAAAAGTTTCCCATATGTTGCTAACTTTTTCAGACAAACTGTATATTTAATTTTGATTACCTTACATATATCTCTTTTTCCCTTATCATTAACCTATACTACGAATTAATGTCTTTTTTACCTTATCCTTCAATTCAACAAAAAACTCATTTTCAAAATTTATCCTAAAGTTTGCTAAAATGAGACTGAGTTTGTTTAATTATATCACGCCACCAAGGCGGTCGATTCATGCAGTACTCATTATTGTAAAACGAATCTTCCAGATGTTTATACACCTAAAAAAATCATCAAATAAGCCAAATACTTAGGAGAATAGAGGAGACTATTTTACCTGACCATCGGAAGCACCCAAGGCGGATCTGAGTAGAAAATCTGGCGGCGCTATGGCGTCGATTAGAGCTATGGCATCATCTTTTATATCAGCGCACAATTTCAATATAGAATCGTGGATCAAAGCGGGCGGTAAAGTACCCACAGCGAAACCTCCTTTATACAGAGTCGTCACGTGGTACTTTTCGATGCACCACAAACCAAACAGAGAAAACAGCTTCGATAGAACCGCTTTAATAGCTAAATCGTCCGCTTCCTTTATCGTCACTAGCATTCTTTGAAGGAAAAAGTGCTAAAATAATTGATTTATTGCCATATAAACCTTTCTAAATGTCTTAGTGCTTACTTGGATGAAGGCCATTGCCATACTTTTCCCGAAATACACCTGACTATCATTTTTAGCTGCAAATAAATCTTTCCCAGCCTTCACCTGCTCTTCGATTTTTTCGTGCGTAGCTTTGAGCAGATACACGACCAACCATTGGTAAATTTTAATTATACCTAGAAACGTTCATCGGAATTAACACTAATTAAGTATACACTGGTACTAATTATATCTTACTTTCTGGATGACACAACTCATCGATGCCCCTGAAATCAAACGTGCTGTGTCTCAAAATGTCCTGACCACGCGACAGGAAATCCACCGAGCCGAGCGGACTGGAAATAGCTCTGTTTTCCAGAATCTGCGGCCAGAATTTCAACAGCCAATTTATAGTCTGCTGTATTAAAATATGATTTTCACCTTCGTACGTTAGATTAGGATCGTGCTCGTTTCTGACATCACCAAATTCGGATACTACAACATAATATTCAATAAAACAACGCGTACTCGAAAATTAACTTAAGCACCTTTCAAATATCCATGTCCTCCGCAGGCTTCTCTCGATTCCTGTACGGCCTCTTTCATTATCCATCCGGCCATGGGTTTGCCAGCGGACGACACTCCGTGGATTTCTACGCCCATCTCCGGCGCGTCAGATTTCGCGTTGCCCATCACTTGGTCGATGGTAAATTGAAGGAAACATTGAGACATCCAAGTGTTAAAGTTGCGCAGAACGTACGCCGCTGCTAAATACGGCAACAAGCGAAGTTGCTAAAACGAATTAGCAGATTAACCCATAAAGCAAAAAGGAAATTATTAAACAAAATAGAGGGTGTTTATTAATTTGGTGCCGATATTTCAGTACGTGATTATTTGGTTCATTTTAAGAAGAAAAGTTTATATCAATATATGTCCTAAACCTCTTAGTTTTCGAGCTACAGGGTGTTACAATTTTAGAAAAAAAAAAACTTTTCTATCTAATTTGCTTATAACTCCAGATGTTTTTTTGAAATTCACATCCTGATGCATCGGCAATCAATTAATTAACACTCTGTATAAGCTATAATACTTACGTGACTTTGGTATTCCAAAATGGGTATTTCTCCTTTACCTTCGGGTCCGAATTGCTTCCGGACGCCCGCGTATCTGATAGCAATAGTGATGGCCTTGACGCCCAACGATTCGCTCATGCAAGCAATGTTAACCCGACCGGCCGATAGAGAACCCAAAGCAGCACCGTGACGTTTCTTAGGGTCCTTAATAGGCGTGACGTATCTACCATCTTCAGTCACATCGGCCACTTTGTTCAGCAAACTAGCACGGGGAATTTCGTAGTTTTTAAACCTCACAAAACTGAAAATATACTCGCATGTTAGCTAATCTCACTTATACAGGGTGTTCCACTGTACTCACCCATTATCCACACCGTTTAAGCCGATCTTCTCACCCATATCGCCCACTTCGACGTTCGGATAGGGCAGCAACGTTTTAGGGTCTCTGATTGGTACGACGAAAGCGTGCAAACCGTAATGTTTACCGTCCAGCACGAGCTGGGCGTACACTGTACCGTACATTGCGGTTTGGCCCAAACCACCGGCCCAACATTTGGCTGCCTCGAAATCCGGAGAGTTCAGTACGAACACTTTCTTGGCCTTGTCGTAGGTGGCTGTTGTGCGCATTCCCCTGGCATTGCTGCCGTGGCCTATTTCTGTCAAGCAGTAGCTGCCGAATATCTGCAAATAATTGGCATTCGATAAACTAGAAGATCCTAGATAAATAAATTGTGCAACTAATAGAAACTTTTAAATTTTTAAGTAAAATACCTTGATAAGATATGAGATAAATGGTTTTTAAATCAAAGGTTACTTTACCTTTCCATCGTTAGCGTCATCGATAAACTGTTGATGCCTTTCTGTGCCCATGTTCATTATTGATTGGGAGAACAGATTCTCCCCGACTGTAAGTTTGATGTACGTGTGGTCATCGAAGACAGTAAATATCCTGCATAATGCTGATGAATATCTCAAATTCCTCACTATGTTGGGTATAGAAAATAGCTCCAATTGTTTTATGTCGCACGCCCTTCTGAATGTGATTTTGCGTTGTTCGTCGAGTGATTTCGAAGTTATATTTTTTATTTTGTACGATGGGATGCTTTGAAGAGTTTTGTACAGATTTTCCTGCAATTATAAATCCGATTTTAACATTCTAATGGTTAAATATATTGTTAATGACTCACCTGGAATTGGATAACTTCCTCCGTTTCCAAATATACCTTTAACTTTTTCCAATCGAACGATGCCCTTTTTCTGTACAGATCCAATGGACCGGGTTTGAAATCTTGAATAAGCTGAGCCATCTTTTGTACCTTATTGATGCACTAAAACGAATGCTTCCTAATAAATACTAATTTGATTTAATAAAATTTCGTTGAACTATTTTATCATACTCAATTGACCTTTCATTCGGTATCAGTGAGTAGATACTGTTCAGTTTAAAAAAACCTAATACAATAATGATACGGCTCGATTTAAACTTTGGAACCTAATTATTTCCATATGTATTCAGATTTACGAAATCTATGTTAAAACAGTAACTACTTTTTTAATTATGTGACTGGGAAAGTAGATAATTTGAATAATTTGAATAAAAAGATGACATGACTGTTTTCGCCTGTTCTTGATTAAGTTGTAGTGACAACTGGGACAACTTACAAACTAGAAAAAAAATACTAATAATACAGTATTACTATTATTATGTTGTTCATAAAAAACTAAAAAGTTAAATAATTAGAGCATTAAAGACTAAAAATTGCTTACGTTTCGTGTTCGCGGTGTCAATAAAGTTGTTTTGATCATTCAAATGACCATTTAAATATTGTTTTCGTAAAAAGTGATAAATTACATAACTACAAGCAAACTTCTATAATAGTTAAAAACAATGTTATAAATAAACAAACAAAAAATGCAAAATATTCCTTCTATTTTCCTATGACAGCAGTTCTAAAGTTCGAAATTAATTGTTGGCCTTTTTCATCAATACTATTCAACCATTTAAGAGTCTTACTTCTCTCTTCTTTTTTTAAAAATTATAAATGTCATAATTGTCAAAACAAAACAATTTTGATTTGTTGTACAATTTAAAATAAGCAGAAAAACTAAGGTTAGATATATTTTGGCGGCTTAAAATAATCAACAGGTATCGGTTAATTTTGATACCAATAATTATTATTTAACACAAACAATGGAGGCCTATTTAAAATCCGGTAAATTGGGCGAAAGTTCGTCAAAAAGCAGCGGCAAATCCGCAGCGCCGAAGAAACCTAAATCGATACATTGGGTGGAGAAATACAGGCCGAAAGCGGTAACAGAAGTTGTAGACCAAAGCGACGTAGTTTCTGTGCTTGAACAATGTCTCACCGGCGCCGATTTACCGAATCTCCTGTTCTACGGCCCCCCGGGTACCGGTAAAACGAGCACAATCCTGGCGGCTGCGAGACAACTGTTCGGGGACATGTACAAAAACAGAATACTGGAATTGAACGCCTCCGATGAAAGAGGCATTCAAGTCATAAGAGATAAAGTGAAGAGCTTCGCCCAGTTAACAGCCAGCGGTGTGAGACCAGACGGGAAGCCCTGTCCTCCATTCAAAATCGTAATACTCGATGAAGCCGATTCGATGACCCATGCCGCACAAGCAGCCCTCCGTAGAACGATGGAGAAAGAAACCAAATCCACTCGATTTTGCCTGATCTGCAACTATGTATCCAGAATTATCGAACCGTTAACATCGAGATGCACAAAATTCAGGTTTAAACCTCTAAACGAAAACTTGGCGTACGAACGGTTGGCTTACATTTGCGAACAAGAGAACGTTCTAATAGACGATAACGATAAATTGTTGAATCTGCTGGTAGAGAGAAGTGGCGGTGATATGCGTAAAGCCATTACGTGGCTGCAGAGCTGCGCCATTTTAAGCGGCCACAAACAGAAGATTGGTTTGCAACACGTTCAAGAAGTTACCGGGGTGGTACCCGCGCATTGGTTGGAAGAGTTTTTGAAAGTTTGTAAGGAATCTAAGGAGTTCTCCGCGTTGGATAGCTTTGTTAAAAAATTGCTCTACGAAGCTTTCGCCGTCTCGCAAATCCTCGATCAATTGAACGAGAAGATAATCAACAGCGATGAATTTAATGATAAACAGAGAACTATAATAGGAGAGAAACTCGGAGACGTTAGCTTCCATCTCCAGGAAGGAGGGACTGAATATATTCAATTGATTGAACTGGGAAATTCCATTATGAAAGCTTATTCTATTGTTTAAAATACTGATGTTAATTTTTAATGTGTACTATGTTAATTAAATAAACTATATATTTATCAATTTATTTATTATACAGAAAAACAATTTAAATGTCAATACAGAATAGTAATTTTTTACATGTCTATGTACAATATTGGCTTAAATATTTGCTCTTATCTGACAGTAGGTATGTAATTCTGAAGAAGGAACATTGATTATATTATATTTCTAAAAGTTTCCAACAATTGACATTTAGGTGAATCAAGATTTACAAAAATCAAACTGTCAAAACCAAAATTAGCCAATAAAGAAGTTCATCATATGGACTAATTGGTATAATAACAAGTGCAGTTTGTACCGGCAATATTTTAATTGCATCTTGTATAACTTCTGAATTTAACTGTAAGAAACTAAAAGAAAACATGAATACTTCAGTGATATTATTTTATAATTAATAAATACACTTGGTTTGATTTTTGTAAGTTCAAATTACTGTGAAATCTAAGCACTCCTAATTCTTTTATATCTACAAGTAAGAAATAATGTTGCGTTCGTGTTTGCACATGTCCAGTTACAAGATTTTCCAAATTTGAATCAAACATTTTCGAAAATTTTATCTGCTAACATATTAGTATCAGAATATCAGTCTGTTTCCATATTTTTTTATTAGGCCATTTGTTAAATTTGAGCCGAAATAAAGTTAAAAACACTGAATAGGCTGAATTGTCTCACGTCCTATATTACTTGAAATTTATCAATAACTTTAATAAATTTGATTGTAACTAGACTCCCATTCTTCCGATAAACTAACTATAAATAAAATTTTAAATTAAGTATACTGAGCATTATTAAATAACAGTCTTAGAGATTTCGATCACAGTTATTTTGAGAATAAATTAAAACTTAATCCTAATTTTTATACCTATTTAAATATTCATACAGGAAGGACAATTTAAATTAAATAAAAAATTGAACAATAAAATATAATATAAAGTCATTCCTGCTGTGAGTTAGACTATTTTAATATTCTAGATTGTCTTAAAATGTTTTGTTTGTTGTATTCCTTATAAATAAAAAATACATTAGAAATACGACAAAACAATACATCATCATACTTTAAATTATTATCGAACAATTTATTTAAGATTTTTTTGTGGACGCCTTTAAAGCAGTAAATTTTTAAAGAAATTGTTTCTTTATAGAGATGATTTAGCGTAATTTAATCTACAATTTTCTACAATATTATACACTTACAATCTAAGTTTTACTTTTTCTGAAAGTGAAGCGTATTTCCCAAAAATAGTTGTTTTGCCTCAACTATTCCACAATGAGGTTTAAAATTCAATAATTCATAACAACAATAATAATGGACATCGATACATTTTGGACATTGTAACACATTTAGGTAATTGCTATTTCTAATTAGTCTACGCTTTTTTATTGACTAGACTATATTGTTATCGTGAATTTGTGTTCACGGACGAGAAAATCTCAAAATACATATTTAACAATATATCATTTAACTTTTAAAATTTTCCAGTACCTACATATGAACAATACAAAAGTGAAATCTACCCTGTCTGTACATATTTTTAAATACAAATGTTTAACAGTAAATATGATTGGTATTACTTTAAATGCACATATAAATATGCTTATGCGACTGTTAAAATAAAATTCGTATAAAAAACGATATGAGAAAAATCTTTTAATCAGAATAGGTAAGTGTTGTTAAAATAATCCCTCTCATTGCAACTGCTTTGCTGGTAAATTTTACAAATAAAACCATCATCTTAGTTTCCCTGGTTTTAGTATCGTGGGGGTAATAAAAAATAGAATTAAAGGACCGCAAAGTATTATCGCAACTCGACAGAAAATCCTTTTAAGCTACCTACGTTAGTTTCCTTTCCCCGGCACAGGGAGACATTAAGACGCTTAAATTGTTTATTTTCTTTACATTTTATACACGGTTTACTAAGTACAATCGAACAGTAAGTATTTTTCTAGTAACTTACCAATTAGGTGTATAATTATAAATATAAATTCTCAGCACCACGACTTTGTGTATTCTGTTGCAGATAGACTCTATCTACTTATACCGAAGTGTTTCCGGTACCGAAATTTTCGCTTTGTCAGCCAACCATCATGCACATGGCCACTTTCAGGACCGATTCCTTTTCCTCGTGCATCTTGCTGATGCCCTTTTTGGCACTGCGTCACCTAAACACAGCAGTTCAATTAGTAAAAACCGCGGCTTCAGCGATTTGCGGAAGGAGTTATACGCACCTGGAATCGGTGATTTCACCCCCGGGGTCGCTGTCGTCGCCCAGGGAGTTCCCCTGCGTTTGGATGTTATAGCTGGGCGTTCTGAAATGCTTGCCCTGCAACTGGGACCCGTCCGATCCCCGTCTGGAGTCCCGCTGTCTGTTCGTGCAGAAGCATTTGCAGATTATCCTTTTGAAGGCGAACCTGGAGGAGAAAATTAACGCGAACTGTAGACGAAGGAGGTGGGAAAGTTGAAAGGTTATTACCTGAAATCTTTGGAGAATAGCGCGTAGATTAGAGGATTTATGGCGCTGTTGCAGTAGCCCAGCCAGAACAGCGTCGAAAATAGAAGAGGATGTATGCAGTCTTGGCAGAAAGCTCTCACTAGGTACATGGTGAAGAACGGCAACCAACAGAAGATGAATCCACCTACTATTATGGCTAGCGTTTTCGCGGCTTTCGTTTCCATGCGAAATCGTTTCACCTAGAAAATTTATTGATTTGATTATAGTCAAAGTAAAACGAATTTTATAGATCCTTTTGACATTTAATATAGTATTGTTATAGATATTAAAATTTGAAATATTTGGACTCAAACACCCTGTACGAATGTTTTCGATCCAAAATCCGCAAGAAATACATCTACCAATAAGGTAAATTATACCAAAAATACATAGAAACTTTTTGTGTCCAATGGAATTATATTCGAAACTTTACCAATTTTCCTTAACTTTCCCTATTAGATTCCGCCCAATTGAAGAAAAAAAAAATAAACGAACGCCCTATAAAACGATAAATAGATAGATAATAAGTCGTAAACCGGTAATGAATTTTTTATAGCACCTATCCACATTCTATATCATTACTCCAATTGAACGTTAAATTAAACCGAGTCCATAATTTCCCTTACTTGATATCATTTCTAAGATTCATGACCACCATTGAATCCTTGAAATGTAATATTTTCAGGAGGCATTACTAACAAACCTCATCAGAGTAATAGCTAATGAGACTTACAAAAAAGCTACAAAAATAATCAATGGGCGCGTTCAGGGAAAATAACCGTTGAGAAGTAGCAGTCAGTATGTTGAGTCCGATACCTGTCAACAGTTGAGTATCCTCTGAACGGTGCATTAGTGTTGTTTATACTGCACATAGAAGCGAATAAAATTGACGCTGACTCGAACTGCGACTGTTGCCAGTCAACAGGAGCTTAGCGTTGTAGTTCAGGGAACCGCTGCAGGCAACTATTGGCAACAGTTGCCAACAGTTGCATTCCCTGAACGCACCCAATGAGTTATACATAGGTATAGGTATAAACGAGTGATGAGTGACCTTGTCAATAATTTACTACTTTAATGTATGAATTATTATTCAATCGATGATATATTAATTCAAAGTAATTATATTACTTTTTACTACATACAGGGTGACCCAGGGTCGCGTTAAAGTCCCATAACTTTTTACCTAATTGAGATATCGACTTGATTTTTTTTTCAAAAGGTAGGTACAATAATTCTGCGTATTATTAAAATAGTTTCGTCTATACACAGGGTGGCTTAGTATTAGAAATTAACTAAAGTTACCTTTTTACTTGGTAGTACATTTCATGTTTACTAATAACCCAGAGTCACGGCCTTCTAAGTTTTACAAAAGCGGCAATATTCATTTTTTTTCAAACCTCTACTTTTTTCGAAAATGTCGAATTACCACTAAACGATTGGTTTTAGGTACAATGTATGGTACATAAAGTCACACTAAAATTCACTAAAGAATTCAAAAATGTTATAATATACAGGGGGTTCCATTAAAAAAAAGGTAACTTTAGTGAATTTCTAATACTAAGCCACCCTGTATATAGACGAAACTATTTTAATAATACGCAGTATTATTGTACCTACCTTTTGAAAAAAAAATCAAGTCGATATCTCAATTAGGTAAAAAGTTATGGGACTTTAACGCGACCCTGGGTCACCCTGTATATGTAATAGTGAGTGGGTTTGAAATCCATCAATGAGTTGTCCTGAGCAAATGCCCATTTTCTCTTGAAATAAATAATATTTTGAATTAAAAACCATGACATAAATAATTAAAAGGCAGTAATCACTAGTAGGTAGGTACATAAAAGATTATAAACCTGTCATTCTACACAGGGATTTTCGAATAAATTCAATTTTAAATTCGTTTTATTATTCATCATATATCGATCTATTTTTGGATATTATTTTAACGTATCGCCTACATTATTTACGAGTTTGTCGAAACCCTGACGTACTGGAATCATATCGAAATCAAATTAAAAAATAATAGACTATTTATTTTGATAAACGAGCTCTTTTATCAACCAATACAATATATTTTAAATTGCTCCACAAAAGTTAAGGAAGTTCGCAAATTTTGCTTACAGACTTTTTGATAACCAAATTTTCAAATATGCGAAATTAAATGTTTTCTCTCATATCTGAGGGGATTTTTTGTCCCCACCTCTACAACTCATACTAAATTTGGCGATCAAAAAACCTGTAACTTTTAAATTAATCTCAATATTTGTGAACTTCCTTAACTTTTGTGGAGCAGTATATATTCTCTACTGACCTGAGCCTTGATGTTCCTCCTGCCCATCCGCTTCGACATGGCCCTCTTGGTGTTGCCGGTCTCCTCGCAGCCGCTGAAGCTGGGGCTCGACGCCCGTTCGCAGGTGCTGTCGCAGCTGCTCGACCGCCGCGACGACGGCCTGCGGTAGGAGCCGAGCCGGTGGACGCGCAGGTGGGTCTCCTGGCCGGCGGCGCCCGGCTTGCTCAGCGTGCTCGTCGACGAGTCCTTCCCGTTGACCGAGTAGTGCACGGCGTAGGAGGGCTGCGTCATCGGCGACGTCGGCGTCACCTCGAAATCGACAAGCGATAAGGGCCAGGTACTATGCAAATGGGCGATGACTGATGGTTCATTAATATTAACCTTGTTAATTCGCTGTGTGTGTGCGTATGTAAAACGGGGGACTCGGTATTGTGTCCTGTCGTATTCCCTGCTGACTTCCTGATGAATTACGATCTGAATAATCTAATCAGAGGGACTCGAGAAATAAGTTCATTGAAATTCAAAGTATTTCTCGCTTTGTCGGTTTATGCATAGGGTGATGGGTTATCAAAGTTTCTTAATAATAAGTATTGATGTAAACTATGTTGTTTGCTGGATAATTCAATATCTTCAGCATTACCATTTTGATATTCACGAAGGGGGAATTTTTTTATGTTAACAACAAATTTGTAGATACCTACAGTGATATGCACCGGATATAAAAAAGAGTAACTCACTACTCGGGTTAAGAGAAGGGTGAGTCTTATCAAATAATGAACTTTTCTTGTAAACGTTTTTTCGCTATCGAGCCCTTCAATCTTAATGCTCTCATTGTCGCTTCCATTTCGCAAAAAAACAACCGCCGTAAAGAGGGATGTCGAGCTGGGGCCTAAATAAATCGACGCAATTAGCAATTTTCCGTATTAAAATTCCGTAAATAAACCGCGATTTCCCCGAGGTGCGATTTCGGACTCGGGACAGAATTCCGCGAATCGCAATATCCGCAATCGCCCTTCGAATAAGAAATTTCGACGTTAATATGAATTTTAAAATAAGTCGGCGCCGACGCGTAATAAAAAGCTCGACTTTTCCGGCTCGCTTCGGGAGCGCTTATCTTAAATGGAAGGCGATTTTTATTCGCCGCGGTTTTCGCTTTCCGCACCTCCGGCTACCGCAAGCCGGGCGATTATCGTAGAGAAAAAGTAGCTGAAAAGTGGATTTCGAGTTCGATTTGTTCATAATTAAAACTCTGCCAACAAATCGGAGCAGTGTTTTTGAAGTGGGTAATTAAAACTGTGAATACGATTTGCAGATTTAATTTGCATACAATAAAGATGAAAAAACAATTATAGAGTGTTTCATTTAATCGATAAAGCTAGAAATAATGTACGAGGGATGTTTCCAAAGTTATGGGAATTGTGCTCTAATTAAATTACGTACAACTTAGACAATGTTAGTAAAATACAAGTCTCGATAAGTTTATGTAACTATCTAGTGCAACATATTCATAGAAGTTGTATGTGTTGCACCCATAGACCATATTGCGCACAAATTTGCACTTATGTGTGTAAACGTATTGGCGTAATAGTAAAATGTATTGGCACCTAACTATAAAGTCAAGTAGCGTTTCTATTAATAAAAATCTTTTCGTAAAACATTCGGAATAAATGTTGTAAATAAACTCTTATTTATTGCGAATCAAATGATCCGAATAAAATAACTCAGTTTAATATGAGGGAACGTAACTTCATCTTATTTTAATTCCTCTCTAAATTATGTGATTTCTCCAAAAATAATGTACGAATATATTCTAAAAATACCAATTTAATCGTGTAACTATATTTACAAAAAAATTGGCTGGTTTTTAAGAAATTTAAAAATCTAATAAACTAATAAATCTAGTTAAAGTAATTCAATAAGCCTCCTAATCACGCTCTTTCTGCAAGCAATAGCGAGCGAAAAAAAAATCGAACTGAAGGACGATTATAAAAATAACCTGGCGAATTTACATGAAAAGTACGCTTCCGATTTACCTGTAGAAGCGTTAAAAATAAATCCCGCTTCGGAGTTTCTTATTCGATTGTATGTGTACCAACCGGGGGACGGCAAATCGGTTCCGTTTCCGCCGACTGCGAGAACGCACGTCGCCATCGAAATTGCATTAAATTTCGCCCGGAGCAATACCGCCGTATTTGCTTCGGATAATCGTTCAGTTAGCAGCCTTCGCCAATATAGCTGTTCATTTGCGCAAAGGAAATGCATCAGCTTCGGAAGCTAATCGCCGAATACATATATCGGTTTATTGGGGGAAAACCATTTTCCATATTTCCTCGACGAGCTTTTCAACGAACGCGTTAATTGCATCATTCGACGTTCGACTGAATTGATTTAACAGCGCAAAAACCGTGCCCTATGTAATAAGTATTTTTTTATCATTTGGAAGAACTCTTCTTCTAAATAATCCCGTAAAAGGCTGTTCTTGTAAATGTAAATCGAAAATTAGAGGGCCCAATTCAGCGGATCCTTTCAGGGCAAAAAAGCAGCAGCGAAAAAATCACAAATTCTCATTTAATTTCACCTTCTACAGTTAACGAAATACAATCAGATCTTATTCAAATCGGACGGGCTGGGAAAAAAATGTTACAAAAACGCAGCGGGGGATTTCGGGAAATTCAACGTCAAACTCGCCCTTTTCGGTCGCGTGAAAGCGCTAATAAACATTCCGAAAGCCTGTCCTGCACGCGGAGCTTTCGGCGGTGTCATAATAGGATTCTTGGCAGGAATTCCTTTCGGCGAGTTCACGGAAAAAATCAAAAGAGACACGAAACAAATCAGTGCGAATCTAGTCGGTCGGAATAATCAAGAGGAGACGACATCAAAAGTTTTTTCGCATGTATTTTCTCTTTTTTTTTTTTCAACGCTCTCCAATTTTCGCAATGCGGAGATAAGTGAAAACGACCCGTTTAATTCGCAGGGGGATTTCTGTTTTTAATCGGAGATGAATTGGGGATATTGCCAATTATTTAGGGTCGCGGGAAATTTTCACTAGATTAACTCGAGTCGTGGGAAAAAATACCTATAGTTAGAGAAGGGCGAGCGTGCAATTTCAGGAAATTATGATGTAAACTCCATCTCTGCGGCCAATGTTGATGATATGGAAATAGAATCATGTTCCGCTGATTTGTGTATAGAACACTATTGCCACGTAACGCTTGTAAAATACTTCCGTCCTCGTTGTAGAGCAAACAATACGACAACCTATATGCCCATTGTGCGGAATTTCTATAACGATGCAAGATAAACAAAGCTGGAAAATTAAGCAATATTGTCTTTATTATAGAAAACAAAGAACCTGGGTTTATGGGAAATAAAGTAAATATGTGTGTTTGTTAGTTCGAGTAAGCTATAAGAGGGTTTTTTATGTCCTTTATTCGCTTTGTGTGTGTACTTTCCAACTAAAATCTATTTATAAGGACTCCATTTTAATTATCCTGCCTCTGGAAACTTTTAATCGCTACGTACGTAGGTGTGGATTTTGTCAAAATAAACGGCAAGAAACTCGAAGAAAATGTAATTTTTTTGGCACGATGAGTATAAAATATTAAGTCGAATCCTACCAACTTTTAGGTATAAATTTTTTTTGAAAATCCAGTCGGATTATTAGGAATTTAAAAAGTTTCGGCGTTATAAGTACAAAATAAATCGATTTATCATGTAAAAATATTCTCAGATGAAAATGTTTTATCAAGAAAAAAAAAACTTTAACAAATTTCACCATCTAGACTAGTTAATTTTAGTCGCTCTAAATGTAATCCAGTTGTAATTTTGTTAAAAATTGAGCTAAGTGGTTATCAAGCTTAGTCTCTACTACGCGTTCCAAGAATCCCGATTACATTTAGTTGTAACAAACAGCCGGCGTGAAAACCCCTTTAAACCAAACTAGTGCACCGAAACTTCGAAGCTCCACTACACCAGAAACAAAGCTTTAATGAAACCATAGCAGTCGAGCTCACCATTCACCCTTACAATCTAAATAATAAAGAAGATAAAATAGTTACAGCTAGCAATGTAGGCGCCAAATTCTCGCTCGACGGATGGCTCACGCTGATCTGGACCTTCTCCTTGCGGCCCCTGGTCGAAGGGCTGGGGCTGGCGCTGGCGCTGCCCGTCGTCGTCGTGCTGTTGCTGCCGTTGCTGTGCGGCGAGCCGTAGGGCCTTCTGCCCGAAGAGCCGCGTCCTCGGTGTATGCGCAACGTCAGCCGCTGCTCGTCGAACCTGTTACCGATACCCTTGGAGCCTGCGAACGAAGCAAAAAACAACCAGCTACAGTTTTCACACTTGCAGTTAGATTATTCGGCGGTAAATTAGGTGTATGTTGTACTCAAATGTGCTTGTATTAAAGGGGGGAACTCTGCGCGTTAGATCCACGTCGCGTGCAAAAGGGGATAACTTCGTATACTATTCGCCCGGGATGCTTCTGTACGTTTTCTTTTGTCGAAAATGGGTGTTGTAATTAATGAAGCTTTTCGTTTGCGTAATTAAGTTGTAATTAAAACGGTCGTACAAACAGTACCGTGAGGCAGATGCAAAAAAAACCATTTTAATGATTAGAAACTCTTTAGAAACCCATGGGCCATTTGACTTTAATTTACTTTATAATTTGTTTAGTAGGTAGTATTTACGTTAGATATTTTTGTTGGTTAATTGATTAAAAAAGTTTGCACTTTTTCGTTTGTTCAAGACTTCTCGAGGAAGTATTTCATATTTTGAACTTATGGAGTTTACTTTCATTAATAACTTTGTATACAGGGTGTCGCAAAAAAATTGGGGCATGGTTTAACTATAACTGATAATTAATTGAATACCGATACTTCAGGATACTTCAGGATGTGAATATTTGGATGATTTTAAGAAGAAAATTTATATAAATGTATGTCCTAAACCTCTTAGTTTTCGAGCGACAGGTTGTTACAGTTTTAGAAAAAAAATTACTTTTCTATCATAATTTTCTTATTACTCCAGATATTTTTATGAAATTTCGGACGTGGACGTCACTGGTAACAGTAAGAAATTAATTTTTATCTCCGAAAAAGGAGTTTCCATGCATGATGGGCGTCTATACCAAATTTCAACAAAATATCAAAAGCAGTCTTAATGAACTTGAGAAAAAATTGTTTTGGTTTTTATTTTTTTACGCGAAAATGGTGCGTCGTACGAAAGTAAGTGTTTGGGCCGAATTTGCTCCATAATAAATGAGGATTTTGAAAATAAATTTGTTTTTTAGAAAAAGCAGTGGTGTACCATTTTTCATCAAACATATTCAATTCAAACCCCGTTCGGACGTGGCTGGTAAAATTTTTAAAAAATCTTTCGCCTCAAGAAACGCTCCTTAATAATTAAAAAGTGTGTACAAAATTTCAGAAAAATATCTGGATTAATAATAAAATTATGATGGAAAGTTATTTTTTATTTAAAAAAAAAATTGTAAAAGCTTCTAACCCTGTAGCTCGATAACTAACAGGTTTGGGACATTATTTACATAAACTTTACTTCTTAAAATCATTCAAATATCCACATCTTCAAGTATCGGTACTCAATTAATTAACACCCCAACTTACCCACATCCAAAAAGTGCTTATTAAAGACGTTACTATAAAGAAGATTAGCTAAATTCATTATAAACTAATAATGCTTAATATTATTGTCAATAGAGTTCGATTTTATTAGTTTAAACAAATTTCCGGTGGAGCGCGGCATTTCGAGCTATAAATACGGCTTTCGCTTTGAATGACGACGGAACAAAAGTGGTTTTGCGTGAATTTATACATGTACGTTTTAGCAATGTGGCGGAGCGACGGAGCGAAGCGCTAAAAGCCTGGAAAGCTCCGACGGCCAGATCAAAGTCGACGGGGAAAAGAGACGTCGGTCGACGCACTATCGTCATAAAACGTCGACCTATTTAATATCCGTGCGCTCGTTATCGAAAATTAGGTACAGTTTTTCCCCGATCGAAATTCGAGCGCGGCGAGAGATCGATTTTTTTTTCTATAGTGCATAGAATACGCCTCGCAATTGCATCGGGATAAGGTTATTTGCGTAGGCAGGTATGGCGTATTTTGAGAAACGTGACGTTAGACTTCCGCTCTAACAATGAGGAAAAAGGATTTGTGTAAGTACTTTCGAAATGTGTGCTTCTGTATACGTAAAACGTTTTCTTCTTTTTTTTTATTCCTAAGAGTTGCAAATCCCCGGGATGCGGAATACGGGACGGGATAAGCCATCTGTTCGCGCATATAAAGTGGAGAAACACCACATATTTTCCGGAATTTGAAATTATCCATATTGGCCCATACATGGTGTTAAAGCTACCATTACAATTATTGCTTGTAACATCTAATTTGATAAATTCTTCTGATAAAGCTGAACTAGTCTAAAGCAAATTAGTAAAAATGTTAATTTATTATTCACTTGTTGCAATAAAATAAATTGTATACTCTGTGAAAAGAGACTAAAATCGAGTCCTCCCGACTGATAAATTATAGGAAGAAGAAGAAATTTTTTCTACACTTTTATTGTGAACGTTTATTGGAACAATTCACAAAAATACCACACTACCATTTCATTTATTTAACGAGTATAATAAAAGCAGATGCATTTTTTCCATCAATTTTATGCAAATCCAAATTGCACAATTTCGCAATAAATTCAGTATCAAAATTTAATCAAAACAGTCGTATGACTTTTCCGAAAAACTAATTAATAAAACTAATAAAAAGTAAGATAATAATCCCGTTTCCATTTCAAGCTGCAGCTCGCAGCAGTGAATAAATCTTTTTTAAATACCTTCTATATTATTAAATCTCCAACTCGTAGCGAATATCACTGCATCAGACAAATCCCTGCATTCACGCAAGCAATTTTTACCCGCGAATGTGACGCAGATTAACAATCTAAATACTTCTGCTTTATTAACGAAAGAGCTTTCCGTAGTCGCGTAGGCAGCGTGTACGCGACTAGTTTGTCTGTTACATGAATAATACACATTGCTGTAGGTGTACCTAATTTATCCTCCTCAAGTCTTCAGATCCCGTTCGAGGTAAATATTAAACAGAGGAAAGCAACATCAAACGTCTTCTAATTTCCGCTTTTTCCGTCGTACCGGCTGCATTTTTGATTAGGCGCTCGCTTCAATTATTAAACCAATCCCCAGGCCGGCATCGGAGCCTCATCTTTTGATTTTCCGCGTCGCCGGGCGAGTTTCGCACATTGCAACATTCTTTCGCGACGTCGAACGTGCATCACAAAAGCCGTAAAAACGAAATGTAACAATCCTTCCTTTTCCGGGCCGCGTCGGGCGTTAAAACGTGCTTTATTGACGCTGTTCTCGAATCGTAAAAAACGCGACAGCCCTAACGGACGTCGAAGGACCGTTTTCCACCTTCTGCAACACGCTTTTACGCCTCTGCTAGCTCGAATCTTCGTCTAAACAATGCTTTTTATCGCGTAGGTCGGCGAAAGGGCGACGCCGTTAAAATCCGGTTACGACTCGCGTTTCTGCGGCTTCAGGTTGTTTGTTTTCAGATTCGAAGGGTGGAATGTGGATTTTTGAATTATCAAAAGAAACGGAATTTTATGAACTACGTAGATTGAATACTGCTTATACTCTGATGGATAACTTTTTTTTGAGAGATCTATAACAATGTCGATTATCTTTGTACAAGAGAACCATTTTATCTATACAATAATTTATGTAAACGCAGTGGATTTTCTCATGAAAATGGAAATGTTATTTAATTTTTTTTCAAGCCACAGTGCTGGTTGTATTAGTTTTGACGATTATGCAGTGTTAGAAAATGTTTTTCATTGCAAATTGATTACTTCATCTACATATACATTAGTCCAAGTTTAAATAAATGCTAAATAGAAATTCGACCAAAATATTCGAACCATTCTGTATAGATCCTAAAGGATAAACCGTTTTTCCATATCTGTATTCGAAGAGCACGCGGCGACTTAGCGCACAAGTTCATCTTTTTTATCTAGTTGAAATACATTTACATCTACAGAAGGAGGAGAGTCGTTTATCAAAAGTCCCGTTCGAATGGATTTGGCGTTTTGAAAAGGAAAACCCGCCGGTGTATAGCCTTAGCTTTAATGTGCCTCGTGCGTTGTGTGTGCGTATTTAAGTTCTTTCGCCGGTTGTTTCTGTAGAAGGAACGTTAAGCGAAGATGTTATTCAACGGCGCCTTTTTATACGAAAACTTTAGGTTCGGGTAATGCAATAAAAGAAACGTGAGGCGTCTTGTCTATTCCGGTCTCGAATTCGGCCGTTTCTCTTTCTCTTCCACCTTCAGTTTCGGCCTCGCGTTGCTTTTCTTTTTACATTCGCCCAACAACTGTAATTCTAGAATAAACTCGCACGGATCCGTACCGCATGGACGTTACCGAAGAGAATTTTAATTTGGGGCTTTCATAAATCCCTTTTTAAAAAAAATGTTACTTAATTAACTTTCCGTATTATCCCGTTTAAACGTGCGAGTAGACACGTACGTCGGTTAAATAGACATATCCGCTTAACGTCACTTGTCTGAATTTATGACATTTAGGATAGAGGCGTGTGGAGATGTAGAAAACTGGTGTTACAGAGTAATCGTTGTTGGTATAAAAAAATAATGTACAAATTTAATCCTTAAATTTGATGTACGCCAATGGTTCTCGTAACGAACGGGGCCATTAATCAAGGATTCAAGACCCACTAAAGGGAGTAACGTAATGGGATCGAGGTTTTGTCCGTGGATGTTTCTATATAGGTGCCGTGGAAAACCCCGTACAATGAGCGAAATGCTTATTCGACCGAAATGTAACTAATAATAGCCAAATGCATCTTCTGCTGATGGTGCATTTAGGCGCGGAAAAAATGATGAATCTAATTAAAACCCGATTAAACCTAACGCTCTAAATGACGGCGATCTTTTCCAGTTATTACCCTAATTACCCAATAGTGCTGATCTAAGTTTTCGCCAACTGTAGTTCATTAAGCATGTTCCCATAAATTTTGCGGAAAATCTGGTCGACTATTCCCGACGGTAAAGTTTCCCGCTTCATATAAACTAAGTTTTATGTTTACAGTAATTAAATTTATATTCACGTCATATTATAATGCTCGTGTGCGACTTTGTGGAACTTTTCGTCTTCGAAATTTCGGATATTATTATACCTGAGTAATACAGGTATTTATAAATATAGGTACTCTCGTATTCGATCAATACGAAGCCTATAAATAAAAATGATTTTCTCAAGCATTTCAGACAATCCATCATTTCGCAGCATCAAAGTACCGAGCATTCGAACATCCAGTAATTCCATTATACAAAGAAACCATTTCTAATGTCCACATTCTCCTTTCCAACAATAGAGATTCAACTCGATGCCTCGCGTTTATAGCGAATCACTCTCCCATTCGGCGATGCATCAGCGTCAAAAGCACTTTATGCTCCTGCAAAAAGGAAGGATACTTATACGTAACCGAAACCGCCTCGAAGAGATTCGAAGCAGCGCAAGAAACACACATAGATATCAACACATCCACGAAAGGGGGTGTTCTTTTTTCGTCCATGCTTTATGCTCGTTATCGCGTTCGCAATCCTTCACTTTAAATCCGGGATAAACAGCCCTAGGAGATGAATTTTAATGCCGCGGGAATAATCTCTTGTTGCGGCATATTATCGTATTCGTTTGGCGCTAAAGGATTTGCTGTATTAATCGGTAATACTGACCTTTACCTTTGGTGGTCCTGAAGCCTTGATTGATGGCCCTGGTGGTGCGGACGGCCGCCCTGTATATCCTCCAGTAGAAGAAGAGCATGACGAACATAGGTATGTAAAACGAGCCGAGGGCCGAGTAAACAACGTATCCGGCCTCGTTAGTGAGCTCGCATTGCCAAGGACAGTGCGGGTTCTCTTCGAGCTCCCGCCGATGCCCGGTCGAGTTAACGTCGACGCCTTCCGTCTCGACGCCGGCGAGGTATTCTTGCTCCGGCTGCGAACAAGAAATTCGCTGTTTTATAATAACAATTTTTTTTGTTACATTTTTTTTATTCGTTGGAAAAGTTAATTGCCTATAGCAAAGCTATAGAGGAAGTAATATCAGTAACATTCTCTGTCTGATGAAAAATATAAAGCGATATTCGAGGTACAATGCGTTTTGTGCGATGAAAAACACGCGATATTTACCGTGGGGATTATATTACTTTTACGGATTTGTAGAGGAATTTCATAATGGTTGAATATTTATTTTTCAGTTTTTTTAGAGATATTCCAGTTATTCTACTAATAACCCGTCCAATTAAAACTTAGCGTAAAATTGTATAAATCAGAAAAGTTTTTTTCCTGTTAACTCCCTCACTATAGTCTTTCTAACAAATTGCAGGTTAGTTAATTAACTCATGTTATACTCTCTACGTCGGAAGCATTAAGCAAACCGGAGAACATGTCACCACTAACAACAAAAATTTACAGTATAATATTTTTCCTGCATTATTTATTCGCTCGGAAATTACACCTCTAATGAAAGTTGAAAATCAACCGCATGGTATAGTATAATAGAAGGGCCGGGTAATTAGTGATGGAATCCAGAGATGTATTTGACGGCTCCTCGAAGTCACGCATTGTTTTCGTGTCACGTAGGAATAAAATAAATTTTCATCTGCAATAAATTCGCCCCGACGAAGTCGGGCCTCAAGTTCACGATCACTTAATCATTTAACCGGGAATTGGATGGGGAAAAGTTTATGTGAATGCGCGTACACTTACATACATATCACGAAGCCTTCTGTTTTGGCGTTGTTTTAATTTAATTTCCCAATTTCGATCTGAATCGTAATTTGATATCATTGAAAACTGATATTTAAATTTTCCCCTAACGAATTTATTCGAGCCGGATTTCGGAAAGTTTCCTTCTCTTCGTTTTCTTTCTATCTTTTTGATGACACAATTTGCGCAATCTTAACGAGTTTAATTGTGGACGCATCGATAAATTCCAACTTTAAATATTAAAAAATCCAATTAAACGGAAACGGCTTCATTTCGTTTATTTAAATTGATGAATTTTCGAAATGTAAATTAATCATTTAAAAGCCGAGAAGTGAATCGGAGTCGATTCAATTAACAATTCCAACGAAACTTATCAAGTTTAGCATCGAGATAACTCGAGATAATTCGATTTAAAGAATAATAAAAACCGAAGAAGGATTTTTCTCCGGTCGGAGTTTATAAAATTGTCTATTTGGGAGAGTTTTTCGATTCGAAATTTCCCCGTTTCTTCGAGAGACTTTCCTTTTAGGAGGAAAATAAATTTTTCTGTAATCACGGCTCTTTTCAAGCGCTTCTTTTTACCTATCCCTACAAAAACTAACAACCACGCTTTTTTATTCAATGCAACCGAATCACTCTGTGTATATTCTTAATCCCGCGAAACGATAAATTTTCGCTAGAATTTTAACACTTATTTATACTAGATGGTTGCCCCCATAAAAAACACGTACTCCGTTAATTAACCGTCCCTTCGTTAAATCCACTCATTAGCTATTCACCTTCGGAGAGTGGAGGCAGAGAAAACATCTCGAAAGGCTCAAATCAATGCCATTCTTAAAGGCTGAGCGATTCCGAATGGGCTTCCTCGGAAAAAGTCTGCGATCGATAAGGCCTAATTAATTCCGGGTTCTTCGTCTTCGGCATTAAATTAAAAACGCCAATAAGGCTTAAAAGATATCTATTATTCCTGGGGATTTTTTTTTGTGCGTTACAAGTCAGGGTTTTGCGCCAATTTCTTATAGTATTTTTCAGGACGAATGAAATCTGCAATTAATCGAGCGCGTATACAGTCTGTCCGGATTTACACAAAAACACCTAAATAATTTATTAAAATTATTATAATTTAAACCCGTCCAAAATGTTATTAATTATGTCGAAAACGCTTCGTAATTCAAACATTACATATTAATGTTGTTTATCACGGGCGAGAAATTAACACAAATTTCCCAGATTTACGAAACTGTTTATTTAAATATGGTATGAAATAATAATTTATTAATAATAATAATTTATCAAATGACTTACAAAAACCTTTGTGAAATGGGTATAGCGTGAGAGTCGCGAGAACCTTAATCAATCGGCAATTCGTAAATAATTGGGCGCATCGAAATCCTCTTTTCGCGTGAAATTAAAAATGCAAATGGCTTGACAAAAATAAACCCGCACGCGAAAGTGCGTGGTTTTGCTATTTATGATCTGATAATCCAATAAAAAACGATCTAGAATATATTTGAAAACGTATACGATTTGTGGGTAGTACAAGGAGAATTCGTTTGCAAAATGTAATGGTTATATTTTTACTGTCGAAAATGTAGGAGTAAGATAAGTATGTAGTGGGAATTTTCTTTGAGCGATCGAGAAAATCCCATGTAAACTGTTGAAAACGACGAAACCTGCAAGATGCTTTACATACAATCCAGAATATGGCTCGAAGGCGATTCACTTTGAGAGACATAGTTGTTTTTTTTCTCCTCGAAACCCGACGGGATGAACCTTCCTCTCTAGCATTTGTATCTTCAAAAACCCGTATAATTGACCCGAACGGTTTTTACGACGTTAGTCTGTTTATTTGCCAGCCGAAAAACGAGCGTATATTCTCCGCTGATACATCCAAAAAATTGTTATTTTCTCTTCATTTATCAGACCTCGACCCTTCGGCTATATTCTTGTTTCGCCCAAAAACTTACATTCTTCCCTCTTCCCCAACACGACAATAAGTCGACATTGATTTTACGGCCAGATATTTTATTTAAACGGCCCGCTGACAATTTTCCCCGATAAACATATCAATTTTCGGAGGTCTCCCGGGCTCCAAAAGCCCGAAATTCCGAAAAAGTCGGTCGAAAAACAAGAGGGAAAGCAATAAAAATGACGATTTTGCTTCATTTCAAACTCGAACTCGCGGAAATTGATCTCTTGATGCCGCTAAAAGAAAACTTTCCAGCTCAAATGCAAACACTACAATCGATCGAGATTGAAACTTGTAAATAAATACTACTCTTTTATTTCTCATGAGTTTTTACAGGATCCTTAAAAGAATAAACTATAAAATGTTCTATAAAAAGTTACAGGATGTGTCAAAATATTAAGTAATAATAGTTAGGTAAATTAATTCTCTCTAGCCGTACTTTGTTTTTGAATGAACCTTAATTTCTGAACGATAACATGAATTTGTATTTGTATTTATACAGGGTGTTTTTTAATAACATGCTAATACCGAAGGGGGTTATTATTGGGCTCATTTTAAGAAAAAAACTTCATATGAATCTATGTCCTAAACCTCTTAACTTTTGAGATATTGGGTGTTAAAGTTTTAAGAAAAAAATCACTGTTATTTTACTGTCACTTCCATACCACTAAAATATTTTTATGAAATTTGGTGTACGGCGTTTATGCATTAAGGAGGGACAAATGGGTTCAAGAATCGCTCCCTTTACTATTATACAGTGAGCGAAGAGTCAAAATACCTAGATCTCTAAACAGTGGCTTTCAATGTGCTCCTCCGACAAATTTTTGAATTGTTCTTTTGCATGGTAAAAACTTCTTGACTCTTACATCAGAGCAATTTTAGACATTCATACCCACCTTCTCAAAAATGTAGGTACTCAATTTGTAACCACCGGGGGTTCATATAACTTTCTGGTATAATAAAGTTTTATCTAACATCTTGATTTCTTTGTACGCGAGTGTTTGTCAACACTTTGGAAAGCAATAAACTCGCCTTTCTATCATTGGAAATTTCGCTAACGATCCGATCGAATCGAGTAGGTAAAGAAACTACGTGACCTACTGAAGCTAGTAAGCGGGTTTTTAGTAAGTGTGTGCACAATATAACGTCATTATGCAAAAGTTTCCGTGCCTTTCTTTATTAAGGTTGTGGTGTTTCCAGATACTATCAGAAATTATTTTCGCTACATTTTCAGGACCATTAATAGGGTAGGCAAGTCGGTGTGTGTGTGTTGGTGTTGCATTCGCCGATCTGATGGATTGCTGTGTTTAGATTTTTAGATTGTTTTTCGTTTCTTGAGGCATTATTATACATGAAGGGAATTCCGTGTAGTTTTGTTTTAATTTTAGAACGAGGGCAGCTGCAATTATCTAGTTACGTAAAACGATTTAAATTAATAAACAGACGAAAAAGAACGGTTATTTCGTTGCGGATTCCGCTATATACCAGCGATGAAATTTTCGGGAAATGGAGTTCAAAAGAAAAATTTTAAATTGAATTATAATTCCGAACGGACTAACGAGCGATACAAAAAAAACATGCAAATATTCAACTTAGTCACGTACTTATTTATACAAATGAACAGTTTGCCAGTTTTTATTAACTCAATTTTCCGTTCGGGATGATTTTATCGAAAAAAATCCGAGCGAAAAGTTTCATCCGTTTCCCGTAAGTACGTGACATTATTAAGATCGTCCCATTGATGTACGTATATTTATTTGGTCGCATTTGCATGTTTAAATGCTTTTCCCGTTGACGATTTCGTTGAAAACGAGTATTTTTCATGCGTTAAAATTATCGCTAATAGATACTCAATGTCACTGGAAATTTCCTTGTTATTCATCCGCGCTTTTACTATCCCAGAAATCCTTAAAATCCCGAGTAATTGGCAACAATTTATACCTACGTTTTCTTGAATTGAGTAGCTATTTAATGAAAATCAAAATTAGCAAAACATTTATATAGGGATTGTTCTTGTATATAAAATAATCCCCATCAGTTCAAATTATAAATATACCAAACTTTATTACAATAAACGAAGACTCCCCAAGGTTTGAACTATACCGTTATTCCTCATTGTATTCGGTACTTACAAGTTTAGTTTGAAGTGAACGCGAAACTCAATATTCCCGTTTTGAGTATTCCCAAGTCTTGTGCACTTAAGTGGTTGCTTGCTATCCGGGGATGTGGCGTAGAGAGATATACTATATACAGTTTCACTCGGCTCTTTTGTAAATTTAAATCGAATACCCATTGCATGTTGTACGCGAAACAGATACGATTTTCTAATAAAATCAGACCCGGAAAGCATTCCGACCGGAGTTATTCCGAACTGCCGAAGAATACGCGGGGCGAAGCGGAATGCGAACGAAACAAGCACAACAGCTTTGCGGGTTTCTTGTTAAACGAAACGTCTCGAAAAAAAAATTTACAACTTTAATAGAAAAATCGATGGCAAATGTACCCAAATCTCAAATCAATTTGGTGCTATTTCCAAATAATGGGATATTTTATTAACTTGAAGCAATTTGTGTATAGGCTGGCGTGCATTTTGAATTATTAATCGTCAATTTGAGGCGCAAGGACCCCTCTAATGTTCTACTAAGCTATTCAAACAGTGTAATTACGTATTTATTTTCGGGGTATTCCTTTTGTGATTATTGATTCTTTCTTGGGTAGAATAATGCTTATTGATAAATTTATGAAAGGAAAAATACTTCTTGTTTTCATTAGAAAGGGCGTATATAAGCGCTTAAGACATAATAACTGCTCGTTTCAGCGAAGTTGTACTGTTTTAGTTTATGCGAACAGTAGATGCTTTTAACCCTTCTATCCTATGTAAACACCCTTTGCTTAAGTGACCCGTTAATTTCAACCACTGGATCGAAATAAACCAATTTACTTTAATTATTAAAGTCCTTAGTTTTGTCTACAATTTATGTATCGTAGATAGTCTACGCGCTACAGTTTGTTAATTATAATTTTAATTAAAAATACATTTTTCACTTACTTATAATCCGCGAGCTCATTTCGCGAGGGCAAGCACTTTTTAATGCATTTCCTTTTTTGACGAATCCGCGACGGAATTAGACTAATTTATTTTTTCTCTCTTACAATTTCGAACGAAATTTTCCCATTTATATTTCACCGGTCGCCCTTCCGCCACCAAACAAACCTAAATATAACCGCTCCTTTTCCATATTTTTTTTAATTTCCTCCCGAAGAGTATTTCCTCGCTCGACCCCAAACCGGCCCATTTGCATAATCAATTCCAAACTGATAATAACAATGTTTTTTTTTCTGATTAAATGCATAAATATTTCGATAACATAAGCGCCAATTCATTGTGAAATAAATTCTTTAGGACATATTCAATTCAAAAAACTGGGAGATTGGAAAATCCAGACCGCTCGGCTTAGGGCCCATATTAGTATATAATTCTTTTTATGCCGGAGAAATAGGACGAAAATGTGGGCGGCTCGTTTGTCCGGAAATGTTTTTCGCGACTTTTATCTATAAGATTCGAGGGAATTCGGAGAGCCCTCGGGAATTTATTAACCCGGCGACTTTTATTCTGTTTGCTTTATCCTTGAGAAGCGCTTAATGGGAACTGTGTTAATGATTGCTGAGGCAAAAAAGATGTCCTTGGCATTTCGCTGATAAACTACTCGGATACAAATCGAATTTCGGGGAGAAGTTCAGATATAATTCGAAATTGCGCTGATTCGATTAGGTCTCGCTTGAGGTTCATCACGATCGAATGCGCCTATTTATTCGCCAGATTCGGATAATATTCTCCTGATACCGCTTAGGAGCTAATTAAAAATAACCTATTTTTTCGTCGAGTAAATGCGATGCAAAGGTCAAACGTTCCCGGGGAAAATTGAACAATTATTTTTCATTTACTAAGTTAACAGTGGAATTATCACGCGAGCTGCACGTTATTAGTCGAATAAATATTTGGAGGCGTCGTGATAAAATCGCACCGATGTTTTACAATTATATAGCAAGCAAATGGTAAAGAGACGATTTTGTTTTTGTGGAATCCGCTATAATTATATTCTGTAGTTGTCTTTAAGAAAACGTAAAAGTTAGAGAGCTGAAAAAGAAGAGAGGCAATTCAGATTTAAGTGGGTTTGCGGGGAAAATTAATTACGCTTTTAAAAAAAAACTGGAAAACGGGTATTAATAATACGGAAGAAGAAACACAGCCTGGCGTACATTTAATTGTCTCGCCCTCCAACATTGATAAATATAGCTAGCCTCGGTATATTCCCATCAAATTTATCTACGACTCGACGTCGGTAATTCATAAATAACCAATAATGCGTGAAAAATTGGAATACCTATTAGAGACTTTTCCAGAAAAAAAAATATGAAAAATGATCGCAAGCGACATATCCTGTAATCCTTGATGGCAACTCGCACAACGTCAAACACTCGATAAAATATGACTCTGGGCTACACGAGTGCTTTATTAATAAATGGAGCCCCGGACTGGATCGTGCTCACCTAAAAACAAACCAACTCATGTTTTTGATCGATATTCCTAATTCAATTTTAATTTCCATCGGCATCAAATCGCCCATCGATCACAATGAATCCTCGCGACGAAAAACTCAGAGCGCAAGAGAACCCACTAAAGTAGATTCTGTAAGATTAGGCGAATAGATCAAGTGCAGGTTTGAATTCGAAATATCTTCGATACATTACACTCCGGAAAACGTATCGAATTATATCAAAAACGCCCTAATGGAATGTTTAATCAGATGCCCGGAAAATCGTTACGAATTAACGATCAGTCGCGGAGATTTCGTCCGGGCGCTGTGAGATTAAATAAAGTAATTAGAATACCTAAAGAGCAGAAGGAAAATCCCCGCGTAATTACAGAGTCTAGGCGGTTTTATCCGCAGATTTCGCACGTACTGTAAAAAGAAAATTGTACTATTAAGTTCGTATGTATAGGTGTTTATACGAAAATTAAAAATATATTTACTGTGTATAATAGGAATGGTATGAACAATTCCTTTTATAAAGCGCTATTAAAAAATTTTTTAATTAGTAAATTTAGGTATAAACAAATTTTCCGCCACGTTTCTATTCGACACATTTACGACGTTCCCCAAATATTTTCGCCGCCGTTCTTCTCTTTATTTCATTAGCGCGGATTTAGCGAAGCGATTCCACGCTCTCATAATTCACCTAATATAATCCCGTCGAAATGAGCGCTCATCTCTAAAACGCTTCCTCTTCGCATGCCGCCGCGCCGGTTAATTATAGACTTCTCATCCATCGGCGCTCGATGCCCTGCAGGTCAGGATGCGGTCCGTTTGTCGCGAGAGGTAAACACCCTAACGAGCCGGTATTCCTTACCTTCCTGCTGTCCTTCCACCCGACCAACGGCGGGAAGCATATCACGAAGCTCAGTATCCACAGGCCGGCGATCAGGCCCTTCGCCCTCGAATGGGACATGATGCTCGGGTACGTTATCGGGCGGGTCACCGCCACGTAGCGGTCCAACGAGATGACGCACAAATTCAGGATGGACGCCGTGCACATCCACACGTCCACCGCCAGCCACACTTGGCACCAGACGTCGCCGAATATCCACACCTGGAAACGTTAAAAAATATGTATTAAATTGAGACATGTGGCGTTAACACAATTTGGATGTTTTTAAGAATCCTTTAAGAGTCCTTTGAAAGTCCTTCGAAAGACCTTCGAGAGTTCTTTAAGAGTCCTTTAAAAGTCCTTTGAGAGTCCTTTAAGAGTCCTTTGAGAGTTCTTTGAGAGTCCTTTGAGAGTCCTTCGAAAGTCCTTTGAGAGTCCTTTGAGAGCCCTTTATGAGTCCTTTGAGAATCCTTTGAGAGTCCTTTGAAAGTCCTTTAAGGTTCCTTTGAGCTCGAGCTCTTAAGAATTATTTAGAGTTCTTCCGAGTTTTTTTGATTTCTTTCCAGTTTTCTCATGTTCTTTCGAGTCCTTTGAGTTACTTGAGTTATTTGAGCCCAATTATATAACCTTTGAGTCCTTTGCGAGTCTTTTGAGAGTTATTTGAGATAATTAATTAAAGAGTTTAACATTATTGTCAGTAATACGGGTATTTATTTACTTACATTGTAAAGTGCAGATTTTAATACATTTAACGTGGAGTTAAATTAATTAAGTTGATTGATAGTTAAGAGGTCTGATATAGCAGGTCGAGTTGACTTTTTGAATGAACGCGTCGCGTGTTGAACATGGCTTTTTTGTCGTGATACATCGCCGTGCTCGGTCGACATTCACGAGTTTCTAGTGCTAGATTAACTGCTTTATTTCAGCGATTTTTCTGGGAAGTTTGCTTTTTTTTTTCGTGCGAAAACACAATCTATAGGCGTACTTTCGATTACCGATAGGTCGCGTTTTCGGTGGGAACGAGACGGTTCGATTTGGAAGTTTCGGTGTAGGTAGATTAGATATATATTTTTTGATAATTGTGACATTGAGTCGCCCTTCGAATTCCGATAATTTTCGGTATTTCGTAATGTACGTTATTTCTGTCACGAAAAAACCGGCCACGTAACGTGCACGCAACTTTTCTAATATTACCCAGGCCGCGCACTGAATCGACTCGGAACGGTCGGATCGGAAAAGAGCGTTCGGAAGAGTTTGGTACATACGAAAATAAAGGCAGTACCGCGCACTCAATCGGAACGATCGGATCGGAACGGTCGGATCGGATCGGAATCGTCAGAGTATTCTCGAAGGGGCAACTTTTCCGAACGTTCCGAAGGTATATCTTTTTTTATGTAATGCTATCTTTGTCGATACTAAATTTACTTGGAATATCGTCCCCAAACTATTAATTTTTCACAGATTAAATTTAAATAAATTCGTATTACCTTTTTATAATGAACTATTTAATGAGTAATGTAGGTACTTTTTTATGAAAATATGTGCATATTCCTGAACCATCATTATTTACGTTAGGATATTTGACGATGCAGTTTTTGGTAATAGCGATTTATTAGAAATAAGGGATGGAAATAAAGCATCCACCTAGTGTGTGGGTCAGCGAGCGAGTATACAATGTACAATAATGTATAAAATAATTAAAATATTCCGATGCATTCCGAAGTCTCTGAATCGGTGCGCGGCATACGCTTCCGTTCCGAACGCTCTGTTCCGATCCGACCGTTCTGAGTCGATTCAGTGCGCGTCCTGCTTTACCCCGACGAAAATCGTTCGTAATGGTCGGTCTAATAAAAGTTTATTATTTTCACCAGTAAATTATTAATGGTTTACGTTTTTTTGTCATCAAGTGTATTGAACTGGAAATTTCAAATGAAAAAAAATTGTATGATTTATTATCTACATTATTCGTACTCGTACAATTTCGGATTCTCGTTCTCCATCAACATCAACCCTTTTTAATTACAATATAGTCCCGACGAGACTGCCGTTAGAATCGTTGCTTACATAGCAACAAAATGTAATGACAATGACACAAAAACTCACATTATTCTGTGTATTCCGCTGGTTTATTTACGACAGAAACATAATTTTCGTATACATGTTGCCAGGAAAATTCAAACACTACCGCCCCCGGGCGAGCGATCGATAAAAAAATTTAAGTTTTTTTTTTTAATTAAAACGAAACCCAGTGTACATCAGCAAATAAAAAATAGTAATCAAATTTGCCAAAACGTACTTAGGTATACTTAAGAATAACGAGAAATTAAATTATATTAAGCATTATGGGCCTGGGCTTTCAAATAAAAACGAAGCATATTATAACTGTCCCGAGAACAATTCGTTTTCCCTGCGCAAAAATCATTGTTAAACAGCGGACGCCTTGTTAGTGTCAGAAGGATCGTTCGGGGCTCGCGTTTCGCGCTAAGAACTTGGAAACTTTTAACGTGATGTCTGTTTTTCATTACTTTACGGAGTTTTTTTACAAATAAAATTGACGCCTTACGGTCAAGTGTATTCCTAAAGTTTCGCAAAGTTGGGGAATATTTCCCGGTTATTATATTATTTGTTTAAAACTGCCGAAACACTTCAAAGTTGGGCGATTTCTCATCAAAATAATGCATATACAGGATGTACCAATTTTTCTAATTTTTGGCGGACGTGCGCTTCCACCAAAAATTTAAAATATTCCGGTGATATTTCCTTATCGATTGAATTGAGTAAATAGCGGAAAATTTCCGAAAATTTTCAACGCACACGCTTTTCCCACCGCCCGGGCGCGTAGTTTATAGATTTATATTCGTGTAGCGTATGTAGCCGTTGATACCATTGGGAACTGTAAATATCGAATCCATCCCAGTTCTGTAAATTAGCTACACAGTCAGCTATCGGCTTCCGAATTAGCTAACGACTGACGAGCCCCCGTATCGAATAAGGGAAAAGGTCACGGTGTGTTGTACGGTTAGAAATTTCGCGTTTTTATAATCGCCTTAATCCGGCCTCACGAACTTGGAAATTTCGAGAGAAAAAGTTTCGGTTGTGCACTTGAATTCGCAATTTAACATTCGCAATCGATACAAAAATTAGGGAAATAGTTTCTCGAAAATGCGCATTATGAATATAGATTTGTGTATACAGGGTGGCTCGGGTTAATATATGGGTTAATAATAGGTTAATATGAAGTTTTTTTCTTAAAATGGGCCCATGAATCACCCCCTTCAGTATTAGCATGTTATTAAAAATACCCTATATATATCAAGTTTGGAATAAAATATTTTTCATTTTTACCGGGTAATAGTAATACTCCTGTATACCCGAACACACCTCTATTTCCTTTTTAAAGTGACATTTTGTACTATATGTTGATCTGCATAGTATACTGGATTTCTGAATTTACCCTTGTATATTAGGAAAAAAATAAATCGTATTCAGATGGAATGAGAAGAAGAAATTTCTTTCATAATTCCAGGCACGAGAACGGGAGTTCGTAACTTTCCGACGCGCTATTTGCAAATGAAATAAATTCGTAAGTCGTACAAAACCGGCGGATTCGAGAAGAATCGCCGAGGCAGGATTGCGCAAACAATACTCCAGGGCGGCGGTTTCTTGTTACCCTTTTTGCATTATTAACCCGGTATCGCCGTTTTGTACTCGTAAGTACTTACAAAACTCTATTTCACGCCGAAAACATTAGTTTCTCGGATTAAGCTCTATTAGTTAAACATAGCGGTGTACACGAGGGAAATTCGAAAGTTTATCTGCTGTATATCCCGCGCTTGACGTTTCAGCAGTGGAGGATTATCAAATTTCCTCGGATTTAACCAATGTAAATTTTACTAAACAGAGTGTATCACGACCAGCTTAATCCATCTATATATTGGAAAAACTACTTACCCGGTATAAATGAAAAATATTTTAATAAAAACACGATATACAGGGTGTTCTTTATTAAAACGTGCTAATACTGAAGGGGGTGATTCTTGGGACCATTTTGGGCCCCATTGGGCCCACTAAACCTCTTAACAATTTTTTACTGTATTTCCATACCACTTTAAATATTTCTATGAAATTTGATGTACGGCGTTTATGTATTAAAGATGATTTTTTGACCTAAAGACATTTTTTTATTTCCAACAGTGGCGTCCGTACCGGGCTCAGGCCAAATATTTTTTGGGGGTAAAAGTGGTACGCCACTGCTTTCTCTTGAAATAAAAAATATTCTTGGAGGCCCTGATCAATTTGAAACAAATTTGATTTCTTCCCTTTTTTCCGCACGACTCGTCGTTTTGCATAAAAAAAATTAAATGCATTCATTTGAACGCTACCGCTACATTAAAATCACTGTGCAGAAATAAGGTAATAATAAATTTTAGGTTTAGGACAGATGTTCATATGAAGCTTTTTTCTAAAGATGGGTTTAAGAAGCAGTCCTTTTAGAATTAGCATGTTTTTAAAAAACACCCTCTATAATTTTAGAGTTTTGATGAATAATTTATACTTAATTACAACCATCTACTAAATTACTTAAAATAAAAATTATCGCAATATTGTACCTAAGTGAGTTTCGAAGAGCACACCATGTATAGCTTCTTTCCTTAAAATCGCTTTTACCTTGGGGGCGCCTATTTTTTCTTATTTGCCGGCGAGTTTCTCCTATGTCGAGAAGGGCGCGATGCGATCAATTCCGCCGATATAGAAATTTAAAGTAGATTTCTCCGGAAGAAGGAGGAACTCAGAGTGCAACACTGACACATCGAAATATCCATGGAATGGAAGAATTCGATATCGGAGGGTTATTGATTTCGTCCCGATTAGACGGGTATTAGTGGCTTTTTTCTTCTACACCAAGAGAACCGGCCGCAGGAATTAAATATTTCCAGACCAATGCGATTCCATCGACTTAAATCGACAGAGCTATAATAATATAAAATCTTCCAAGATTCGAAGATATCATCAGTCGAAAGGATAAATATTCGGGTATAATCTCGTCTGGTACTAATATCTACAGGGACGTTAGTGTAGAGTAGAATAAATGAGCTTTCAGTAGACTAAAGATAGTTCCAGCAGGAATAGAAATTTAAACAAAGCATTGTAACTTTGTGCAAATTAATCCTATTAAATCATGAATTCCAACTGGCAACGTTTCGGTTAAAACCCGACCATTTGGTAAAACTTATTCTGAAAATTTGTTTCATTTTCTTACCTTGAAGACCTCCCAGGTGGCGGAAAAGGGCAAGACGGCGACGCCCACCATGAGATCGGCGACGGCCAGCGACACAATGAAGAAATTCGTGACCGAACGCAACTTGGACGAGTAATAGACGGCGGCGATGACGAGACAATTGCCCACTATCACCATCACGTTGATCAAAGCGAGCACCGATAGCGAGAGCAACAAATGCGAATCGGCGAAGTTCACTCCATCCAAGAGGGCCGCGCACGCGGTAGCGTTCAGTTTATTTCGCATTACATCAAAAGGATGCGGGGGTGCCGTGACACTGGGTATTATTTACTTGAAACGTTCTATCGACATCGTTGTTGTTGATGTACGAGTCGGTTTTCTGGTCGGGTAGTCGCCGGTTCTGGAACAAAGGCATATTTTATAGCGTATCTGCGAAATTAATATGCGGATTTAATGTAATTAGTAGTTAGTATACCTGCGATTAAACTGCTATCATATCGAACGAAAAAAAACTCCACTAGGCGCTGTGAAATTTTACATACATATAATGTGAAATGCTGGATAAGTAAATAACGACTTAATTACATTTTTTAATGCATTCATTAGCGAGAACATATTTTAATTAGCCTATAAACCCGGTAGTTTTTTACCGCGAAATTTCGTTGTAATTAATTTAATGAACAAGTGATAAATATCCTTAATTAAAATGTTAATTTATTAACAATAGTCTATGTACACATAACTTTATCAAATCTAATATGGGTGTTTAAAATTTTCACTAATAAATAAGAAATTTTTAACGTTACCGTTTAACGTAACATTTTTTAATAACGATTCAAGATAATTATTTAAAGTGGCTTAATTGCAACGAGAATCGCTCAAGGAAGAAATCAATATATCCTGACCCGGTCTTGGTATAATTTAATCCGCCCACTCATCGTTCCTATGCGAAGTATCATTGTTATTTCAATAAAATAGGACGCTTTCAGAACATGGCTCAACTTCCCATCCCAAACAGATTATTATCTTGCCGCCCTCCAAAAGAATAACAACCGTAAAATATATTTTATCGAGGCACTAGTTTAACAAATACACTACCACTAATAATACACCCCAAATGAAAATTTATATTTATCTACTTCAGAGTAAAATTTCATCCACTGCAGTATCCATCAATTTTTGGAATTGTAATTATGAAAAGTTGATAAGATATATCAAATTCCACTAAAGCGAGCTCAAGCGTAGGTATGTACTTAAATGACTTACTTATAAAATCATTATTTGCATTTAAACTTTAACACACTTTCAAGTTAATGAAACACTTAATGTACATCAATTGCATTAAATTCCGTTTTGGCTACGAACTAGTTTCTATTCTCGACTGAACAATCAAACGCCATCATCATTAATGTAGACAGTAGATGTTATAATCTCGCTAATGACCCGCTCTCAGTATATGCGTGTGTGTGTATGTGTATTGTTTTTTTTTTCGTTTTTAATTGAAAAGTTCCTCGTTGAGGCAAACTCCTTCCATCAGTTAAAGAAGGGACATCCTATTTAGCGGGCGGATTTTCGTTCTACGTCTTTATCGGGTTCTGCGGTTTATCGCGATCGGCTCTTTGTCTCGCTTAAACGTCCGAATTGATCGAGATGGTTATCGAAGAGAAGCGGCCTTTTCCTCGAAAAGCCACGGACGGCAACGACAAAAAAAAGAGAGAAAATTCAATTTCGGTCGACTCCATGGGGCGTTAGTAGTCTATACTGAAAATACTTTACTGTGCCGTTAGTAATGTACAGAGTGTCGCTTGGTTTATTTGAACATCTTGCATGATATTCTGATTATCTAGCAGTAGTAGATTAAACCGATTTTTGAGTTAATTCTTTCGACCTACAGAAATATAGACCAATTCCTTATATCCCCATAGTTTTGTTTCATCTTATATATTTTTTAACGAGTCACCCTGTATATACAAGTAATACGAATCGAACACCCAGTGTAAACGTAAATGTGTCATCAGAAAGTATTTTTGACACCTTTTTTCGAGAACGAAATAAATAGCGCAATCGAGAAGCGTCAGATAGAAAAATGCCTCCCCATATTTTTGCGAAATATCCCCGTTATGAATTTCATTGCTCTCGTATATATTCCGTTGTCGAGTTCTTGTATTACGTTTTAACTTCATGATTGCGAACCAACGCAAACATTTTTTTTCTCCGCGGCATCGCAGTGGCGCATCCAAGAAAATACGGCAAAAGTAGGGAGAATATGGCATACAAACGTATAGGGAGAATGTACCAGATAAAGGATGAGAGAAATTAATTGAGTATAAGTAGGGAGAATATACCAGATAAATGAAGAGAGAAATTAATTGAATAAAAGTAGGGAGAATGTGTTGGATAAAAGTAGAAAAAATGATAAGAAGATAAAAGAAGAGACAAATTAATTGGATAAAAGTAGGGAGAATATACCAGATTAAAAAAGGGAGAAATTAATTGGATAACAGTAAGGAGAATTTATATGGTGAAAGTAGAGAGAATATGTTGGATAAAAGTAGGGAGAATGTAGCAAATAAAAGTAGGGAGAATGTTTTGGATAAAAGTAGGAAGAATGTCCCAGGTAAAGTAGAGAGAATGTTTTGGATAAAAATGGGGAGATTGTGTCAGATAAAAGCAGGAATACCAGATATCAATTTAATAAAATTAATTATAATGTGTTGAGTAAAACTAGACGGAATTTGTAGGGAAAATAATAGGGAGCCTAGAAAGTGTCGAAAAGTATAAGATAAAATGTCCGAATTGTTACGGACAGTATTTCAATCTGGTTCGATTTGTTTTAAACGAAATTATAGAGCCGAATAAAAATTCGATGATCGAATATCGATAAGCGAACGCGTAAATAAGCAAGGTGGGAAAAATAGGGCGTACGGACGCGACTTTGGCTGGGATTTATCGAGTGCCTTATATTTTTTACGGCAGTCGAAAGAGCTCGAAAAAACCGAGAAAATAACTTTATGTATAATTCAGTTGCCGTTGTCGAAAATAGTTTTCGAATAAAATCGTAGTAAATCACGAGAAAATGCCGCTGTTTTCCTGCTGAGCGAAAACATTCCCGCGCACTCGGTATAATTTAAAATAAGAGTTTATTCGCCGTTTCTTTTGATATACAGTATGTCATTAAGTTTTCACGGTTTAAAAAAAACAACTTTATTTAAAAACTTGAAAGTAAGATCCTTATAGTTGGATATTAGTTTCTCCACGATTAATTCCAATTAAATTTTTTGTTCGATCTAAAAACTATATCTATGTATATTAGAAAATAATCGACTAATTGACAGGATTTCATTGATTTTTTACACCGGCTACATTCGATCGAATCTAAAGCAATAATACGCGGATTACCAACCTTTTTGCCGTCAGCGAATTGGAAATGCCGATGAGGAGTATAAATGAAAAAAATTAAAAATCGGCGTGACAAGTCGCAGGAATTTCCTCGTTTCCCGTTGCGTACATATTCGAATTTTGTATTTTCTGTTTGTCGACGGGGAACGATTAGCTTCAATTTGTAAGTACACGCCGCAAAACCGATTACAGCCGCATTAACGGGCGGAACGAGTCGAACGTAATTATTAATTTACCCACCGGTACAGGCAATCAAGTTTTTCAATTATCGTAAATTATTTCGTTGTTTTACAACATAGACGTTTCCTGAATATAAACAAAGCGTTTTACTGATATCATTATCTATGCATTTAGAAGCATATTTGTAGGTAAGGCGAATTGTAAAGTGGCACTCTTTTGCGCCCTTTGAACTGTCGGTGTTGCAAATTAGGAAATTCGCAGCGACAAAGAAAAGGTGCTTTTGTACTTGAAATTCATCCCGCCAGGCAGGGGAAATTTAATTGTTCGCGCGGCGAGCTGCCGAGGGATGGTTTTGAGGGAAGGTCGTTCGAGCAAAAGTGCTCGGGACGCGCGAATATCGCGAAAACGAGCCTGGAGATTTACCAGCAGCAGCTCCTCTTTATTTGGGCAATTCGGCTGGGCCGATTTTTTTTTTCTAACTTTTCCCGGCAAACTTTTATGAACGAATATCACTTTCGCTGAACGATGTGCCATCAAATCGCAATTTAGTGGACGGGAAAAACGTTAGGGAGGCAAACAAAAGGGCATACATGGTGGTTGAGTGACAAATTGTCTACAGTTTAAGGGCCGCCCGGATGAAAAATTAACCACAAAGCCATTCGTGACCGCACTTTCCTCCACGAAACTCCCACCGTTAAATTTTTAATTTCTCTTTATAGTTCGCCGGCGCCGAGTCTATCTGGCGTTTTCCCTAACTTCGAAAAGCGAATTTATAATCGAAGGGAAAACTCAATATTTGTCGGCGAAATTTACAGCGCGGTTTATTAGCGACAGTCAACAAGTTAAAGTCGCAACATTCGAAGGGAACCGGAAAAGCAATTTTTCACCGGCATAATTGAAGAGCAAAAGTTAGGAAAAACACCTCAGGTGTATTCCGTTCGGCAGGCGAGTCACTCAAAGAACTTCCCGGCGACGCGACGGAAAATTAAAATTATTCCCGTAAATCCGTCTGGAGACGCGAGAGCCGGGAGACGTCGCGAAACAGATTTATTAGGACATTGATTTACAGCGTTCTTTTAATATTCTTCGCCAACGATTCCGAGTTATGCACGGTACTTACGTGCTACTTTTCACCAAATATCAACCGCAAGAAAAAAAAAATCAAACACTGGCGATTTTATATTTTCATTTCAACCGCCCTCCCGGGAACTGAATATTGCATTATGACCCGCTCCCGACTCGGATCCTTTATTAACGGCTTGACGCCCGTCGAAATCCTCCTCTGCGGTTCGAATAATTCAAATCGCTTCCAATACCTACACGTAGAGGGTCGGCATCCAGGATGCCCGAGTGAATATTACACGAATACCTCCCCACGTAAAACCGTTGTTTACGTTGAGCGGTGGATTGATTCGAGTTATTAGAAATGCTGAGTTATACCTAACCTAAGGGTTTAATATAATACACCAAAATGAGTGATAGCGTAGATTAATAACCGCAAGCACAAATACCTAAGTGATTTTTGTTGGAAATTTTGAGGTAAGCTCATTGACTGCATCCCATTTCCTTTCTGTTTGTACTTATTCGAATGAATTAATAATACACGTTTTTTTTTCGCTTGATATTTTGGCTAATTCATCAGCGTGCATTTTAAAGCGTAACCCAATTTCAGTTCTATTTCCGGAGAGGCTTTAATGGTTTGTTAATGTCAGAGGTAAGCATCTGCTTTCCAATGCACGACGTGCAACACTTTGCATTTGTATGTCTATGTATTTATAAATAGCCAGTCTATTTAATCAGCTCGACGCTTTTATTGCATTT